TGGTTTTTGTATTTCTGTGGTTCATCTGTGCTTGATTAAGAGGCAGCATAAGTCCAGGCTGAGGACTGCCCTCTTCTGTCAAGCTCGAACCTGCTGCATTTTGGAGTGAAAAATACCAAGAAGGGGGTCAGGATAGCACGGGTCTGTTCCCAGGCAGACAGCGAAGGGCAGGTCACCTCCCATCCCTGTGACGTGGTGTGAGAGCCTGCTGTGCCTCTGGGCTGCCTTTACACATCACTCTTTACTCATTCCTTCTTGGCAGAAAATCCCAACAAGCCAGAGCTGGTTCTCAAGCCGTCATCCCCTCTTGTGAGCCTGGAGTACAACCCCAAAGACTCTCACATCCTGCTGGGGGGATGCTACAATGGACAGATGGGTAAGGAAGATGGGTTATGCATGAAGCCATGATAACAAGGGTCTGGCTTTGTTTAAATTCAAGAAGAGCTTGGTTCCAAGACCACAACCACATCCACAGACCTGCTCCTCTCAGGGCTGCACAGAACCTGCACTGTTACCCAGCACATTGCAGGCACTTGGGGTGCTCAGCCAGAGCATGGCAGTGCTGCTGGCTCAGAGCATGGAGCAGTACATGTGCTGCATTTCTGCCTCACCCACAGCCACATATCTTCACGTGGCAAAAGCCTGGAAGAGTTGCCATCACTTAATTCAATGAATTGTTTTTGTGCTGTTGTTTCATGTGCCTGGTAAAGGGCCCCTCTTTGCCAGCTTCGTTTTATGGCTGTTATTTACTTGGCTACGCAAGATCTTTGATTTAATTGCTCTCATTTTGATGTTTTCCTTGCCATTTGCAGCAGCAATCAGATCTGACAGGGCATGCATCACGGGGCTGTTCCCGCACGCTCCGCGGGTGATGGAGGGGGGATTTCAGCACGTCCTGCACAGCTCCCCAGGCGTGTGGCACCAGCCCAGCAGAGCGTGCACCATCACATCCAATTGCCTAATTAGAAGCAAGCGAGAGGGAGTGAGTGTGGCTCAGTGCCACCGTGGCCCAGCTGCCCAACCTTTGCTGAGCCATGAGTGCTCCTGCGCCATGACCTGTCCTCTGCTGCCTGTCAGAGACAGAGAGGAATGGATAGCTGCTGCTGTCCCTGGGACCTGCCTTTGTTAGTGGCTCCCTTAAGGCACATGGGAGGATTGCACAGCCAGGGTCAGGTCAGATAGGATGGTTTTGAGCAGCACTAAGCATGAGAACTGCTGTTGGGGGTGTTAAGACCACATCTGGTCCTGCTGCAACCCTTTCTGCAGAGCAGGAGAGGAGCTGGGGGGATGAATTGCCTCTGGGGGTTGCAGTGCAGCTGCCACAGAAATGATTGCTGAAAGAAGTACTGGGGCTATTTAATGTTCTCACCATCTAGCTTCGTGTTTGCAGAAAGCACAAATTGTTCATCTCTTCAGGATGGGCATCTCCATGTACGATCACAGTAGCAGGATCCCAGCCTCAGGGCCCTTCCCTGGTTTCAAGGAGTTGGGCAAGGCAGCTGGAGCGTATCTTGACAGCTCCTTTTCTTTCACAGCTTACTGGGACACCAGGAAGGGCGGGCTGCCCGTGGAAGTGTCCACTGTAGAGGTCAGCCACAGAGACCCTGTGTATGGTGCAATCTGGCTGCAGTCCAAAACTGGCACTGAATGCTTCTCAGCCTCCACTGATGGGCAGGTAAATGGCAGGGACAGGGAAAGGGCTGGGTGCTCATACGGTTGCTGCTGGCAGGCACTGGCAGCCCAGCATGCTTTGACACAAGGCAGCTGCCCAGCTCCAGGGTGCTTGGCTTCCCAGCACTCGTGGCTGAGAGCAGCCCCTGCCCTGAAATATCCTTCCCCTGCAGGTCCTGTGGTGGGACATCCGCAAGCTATCCGAGCCCACCGAGGCACTGGTCTTGGATATCACACGCAAGGAGCTGCTGGAGAATGCTCTGGGTGCCAGCACGCTGGAATTTGAGCCCACCATGGTGAGCTTCATGCACACAAATGGTGTCCTAAACGTGGCAGGTGCGTGAGTTGGGCAAACCTGAGCGGGGCAGGCAGTGCCAGTGCCTGGAGCACAGCATTGCGGCATGTTCTACCCACCTTTATCTGTCAGAAGTTCCTAAACTATGGGGCCATGCTGGCAGCTCAGCCTTTGAAGCCCCCTGATCACAGTGTGTCTCAGGGCTCCATTCTGCCCATTGCTGGCTGCAACTGGCTCCCCTCGTCACACTGCAAAGCCCTTCACTCAGCAGCTGTCCCCCACACCACGAGGTCCCCAGCCTGCTGACAGCTGCTCTCCTGCTCCCACCCTCAGCCTACCAAGTTCATGGTGGGCACAGAGCAGGGCATCGTCATCGCCTGCAACCGCAAAGCCAAGACACCTCCTGAGAAAATCGCCAGTACCTACAGTGGCCACCACGGGCCTGTCTACGCGCTGGCCAGGAACCCTTTCTTCCCCAAAATCTTCCTGACGGTTGGTGACTGGACTGCTCAGATCTGGTCGGAGGAGACGAAGGAATCATCAATTATGTGGACCAGGTAGGTGTCAGCGTGCATAGGTTTGCACTGCAAAAAAAACCCTCCTGCTCTGTGGCAGAGTATCTGGCAGCAAGCATGGGTTCTGCGGGCAGGTACCACCTCTCCTACCTGACGGATGGCTGCTGGAGCACTGTGAGGCCATCTGTCTTCTTCACGACCAAAATGGATGGGACGCTGGACATCTGGGACTTCCTCTTCAAACAGAACAACCCATCCCTCAGCCTGAAGGTCAGCTCCCCACTGCTGGGAGAAATGGGGGCTGCCCTGGTCAGCAGTAACACCAGCCACAAGGCACAGAGTGAGGAGCACCTGGGGACGGGGTCAGGGGATGGAGGAGCTCACGTGTCTCTCTGTGCAGAGCTCTGGATCTGCTCTGTCAAGCAGCAGCCTTCAAGTCCCCAGATTTGCACATAGGCTCCCATTGCTGGCACACACACGGGTTTCTCTCTGCCAGCTCATCCTGCCTGGCTTCTCTAGGGGCACTAGATAAAGGCTAAGCACTGACATCCATCCATCCTCCCTCCCCAGATCTGCGATGAGCCCCTCTCCAGCCTGCGCTTGCAGGACAATGGCTGCGTGGTGGGCTGTGGCTCAAAGCTGGGCACCATCACCCTGCTGGAAATCTCCTCTGGGCTCTGCACCCTGCAGAGGAATGAGAAGAACCTGGCCAATGCGGTATGTGTGCTTCAGGTGGCAAGCAGCCGGATGCCTGTGCAGCAAAGCCCTTAGTGCTGCCAGCATGTAGCTGTCCCCACGGGGTCCTCTGCTCCCCTCTCTGCCCTAGATGTTTGAGCGGGAGACCAAGCGGGAGAAGATTCTAGAAGCCCGGCACCGGGAAATGCGGCTGAAGGAACGTGCCAGGTCAGAGGGTCAGGGCTTGGAGGCAGAGGAGATGCTGGAGGAGAGTCCCCAAGAAGCACTTGACCGTGCCCAGAAGGAGTTCTTCGAGGTCATTGAAGCAGAGCTGCAGAGGAGGGCACGGGCAGAGGCCCAGCAGCCAGGCAGCAGCAAGGTATTGGGACCAGCAGCTGTGGGAGCATCCCCAGCCCTGCATGGCTGCCTGGTCCAGTGTGGTGGGGATCAGTGGAGTTCTGCAGGGGACACTGATCAACCTCTGCCTTTCAGGTTAAAGAACACACGGAGGAGGAGGTGGTGGCTCAGGGGGAGGAAGGCGAGCTGCCCAAGTACGAGGAAGAGGACGAGGAAAAGGACGCTGCCAAGGTCAACTCGAACCATCCTCACGTTGCTCTCCCCCTCCCTGCTGGGGTGGCTGCTCGGGGGCTGGTGCAGGGATGAGGCTGTGGCATAGAGCTGCTGCCCTGCAGGGCACCCCAGCCCCTAGCTGGGCTCCTGGGGTCTCTGCCTCCGTGGGGCAGCCCCAGACACCGTGTCTGCTCTCTCCACAGGAGCCGTAGCAGACAGGACCAGTAGATCGCACAGAAACTGTGAAGCCATTCACAGATGCTCCCTGGCCCTTTGCCCTCCTGATTTTTCTGTAGTGTGAATAAACAGGAGCTTCCCACACCACGCTTCCTGTTTTGTCACAGCGGGGTTGAGCAGAGAGTGGGAAGGTCACGTCCTTTCTCCTTTCCATCTCCCTTCTGGGACCAGGCCATGGTGCAAAGCCAACAACCAACCATGGTGCAACAGCAGCTGGTGCCCTATGGTACATCCTGGGATCCTGGTGTGGGCAAAGCCCCCCTCGCCCAGCCCATTACTTCCCCCCATCCTTGCCTGCAGAGCCAGGGCCGGGGTTATCAGCTCTGGGTAAACACAGCCCTGCTGTTATCACAATGCAGCCCAACTGCCGGCTTATCCACCGCTCAATTATTAATGAGCTGCTTGTTGTGTTCACCCCACAGCACAGCTGATGACAGGGGGATGGGGCTGCTGGGGGGACGGCATCTGTGCAGTGGGGCTGGGGATGAGCCCCAAAGCCCCACTACAAAACCAATGAGTGTCACCTGCTATCCAGGATGCCTGCTGCCATGGGGTGGGGGCACAAGGTTTGTTGCCCCCCAGCCCTAAGCAGAACACTGCTGCTCATCCAGCAGAGCCGGCTTTGGGGTCAGCAGAGCCCCTGAAAACCAGTGGCAGTTTGCTGACTGTGAATGGGAGGATGCAGCAAGGCACCACCCAGTCATTGCAACCCAAGCTCAGGTGCAGCCACCAGGCGCTGCTGCTGCTGGGCTGGGTCCTACCCTGAAGCACAGAGGAAGCCCAGCACCAGCCTTGCGGCTTGGCCAAGTACCTCATTAAGTGCCAGCACTAATTATATCAATAGTGTGACAGCGTTTCCAGGAGCCTGAGTAGGACACAGTTCTGTGCTCCCCCCCGTGCCACCTGTCCCCAAGGCAGCGAGGGGCCGCTGCCAGCAGGAAGGCTCACTGCCCAGCTGCCCCTTTAAGGCCAATCCCAGCAGCGTTCGCTTTCTTCCCAGGAAAATGAGCCTCTAATTGCAGCATGGGGGGGTCCTGGGGGCTGCACCGGCTGCGGGCTGTGCCAGCCCAGTGCCAGACTGCATTCAGTGATGGCCGGTGTGCAGGTCCCTGTTCTGCTGTCCCTTCGTCCCTGTCCTCTCTGCCCCACACTCACTGGCCATGTCTTGCAGGTGGCTCTTCGCATCCGACCCATGAGTGTGGCTGAGCTGCAGAGGGGGGCCAGGCCCATTGCCCACCGCCTGGATGAGCAGGTACAGCTGTGGGACGGGGACCCAAGGCAGGGGACGGGGGGATCAGGTACACTGGACAAGCCTCAGTGTACTCTGGACATACCTGGGTGTACCTGGTGCTGCATGTGATGCACACACGTGTGATGTGTGCACAGAACAGGATGGGGGACACCTGCAGCTTTACATTCCCTGCAGAGATCCTACAATAACAAAGCGGCAGGATGGGAGTCTGCAAGGACACTGGGTCAGGAGAAGCCCTTCCTGCAGGGCTGTGGGACCCCAGTGCCACCTCTCCCCATCCCCAACTCAGGTTGCAGGGAAGGCCTGGAGGCTGTGTGTTGGGCAGCCAGGAGATTGGCTTTGCCACAAAGGTCGAAATCTGCGTTGCACTGAGAGACACCAGGGATGCTGGCAGTTCCGATGGGGTCAGCACTGGGCCCCCTCTGTCCTGGCATCACCCAAAAGCAGAGGTCTGGGGTTGGTGCAGGGGTACAAACAGCATCCCTATGGTGTGATTGCATTGCAAACCAGCTGGAGGTGTGCAGCTGCGGGCACCTTGCTGGGCTGTACTCACAGAGGTGCTTTTGTGCCAGCAGGCAGTGGAGCAGCCGGCTGGGCAGGTCCCCTTGGCACTGCACACAAAGCAGCTTTGAACCCCAGCCTCTGCCTGGGGACAATGGGACGATACAGGAACATAAAGGGCCCTGGTCTGGAGGGAACATTGGCAAAGGGGAGGCTGGAGGTGCTCTCCCAGGAGCATGGGGGTGACAGATGCCCTAGGCAGCCCCATTTGTGTCTGCCAACAGGTTGTGGTGCTGCAAGACCCCATGCAGAACTCTGATAATGTCCTGCATGCCAGCCGCTCCCAGGAGAAATCCTACATCTTTGATGCAGCCTTTGACTCCACATCCACCCAGGTGGGTCCATGGGATGGGCAGGGCATGGGGACGTGGGGCTGGGAACATGGTGTGGGACAGCCAACTGGCATGGGGGCACTGGGATGTGCCCTGGGACCATTCACTCTCCAACAGGAAACAGTGTACCATGCCACCACCCGAGGCCTCATTGCAAGCGTCATCTCCGGCTGCAATGCCACCATCTTTGCTTATGGCCCCACTGGTGAGGGGCTCAGGGATGGGCCCCATATGGCAGGGGCTGCGGAGAGAGTCCCAGCCCCAGATGAGCCATCCCCTCTCCCCCAGGCTGTGGGAAGACCTACACCATGCTTGGCACCGACAGCGAACCTGGCATCTGTGCCCGTGCCCTTGGTGACCTCTTCCATGCCATCAAGGAGTGCAGCAGTGATGCAGAGCATGAGGTCTCCATGTCCTACCTAGAGGTGCATGGGAAAGCGGGGATGTTCCATCTCTGGGGCAGGCAGGGAGCAGCGAGTGACACACAGCCAGGGTGTTGCTGTGCTGCAGTGCTGTGTCCCCTATGGGTGCCCACACCATGTGGGATGTTCCCAGCTCCCCCCTTTGCACCCAGATCTACAATGAGGTGATTCGGGATCTGCTGAGCCCCTCACCACACTCCCTGCAGCTGCGGGAGGATTCCCATGGCACCGTCCGAGTGGTCGGCATCACCGAGGTGTCGGCCGGCAGCTCCGAGGAGGTGGGACAGGGGATGTCTGGGGGGCAGCAGGGAGCAGCGAGCCCCTTACCCAGCACAGCCTGTCCTCTCCAGGTCCTACAGCTGTTGCTGAGGGGGAATCGGCAGCGGACACAGGAGCCCACAGCTGCCAACCACACGTCATCACGCTCCCATGCCATGCTGCAGGTCACTGTGCGGGGACGGGGACTGTGCTGCGGGCGGCTCCAACTGATCGACCTGGCAGGCTCCGAGCGGGCAGCTTGGGTATGGCATGCACCCCTGTGAAACCCCTAGCCCTTTTTTATTGCTACCACACTTTTTGCCTTCACCCCACCGCCCAGACGCAGAACCGTGGGCAGAGGATGAAGGAGGGAGCGCACATCAACAGGTCACTGCTGGCCCTGGGCAACTGCATCAAGGCGCTGAGCAAGCCGGCAGGCAGTGCGCACGTCAACTACCGTGACAGCAAACTGACCCGCCTGCTGAAGGTGCGATGGTGTCAGGGGGCACAGGCTGCTCCCCCCACCCCACTCAGCTGTGTGCTTTGCTGCCCAGGACTCGCTCGGGGGGAACAGCCACACGGTGATGATCGCCCACATCAGCCCTGCCAGCACTGCCTTTGAAGAGTCCCGCAGCACGCTCACCTACGCCCAGCGCGCCAAAAGCATCCGCCCCACGGTGGGACCGGGAGGGTGAACACCATCCCACCTCCTGCCAGCATCCTCCTGTCCTGTCCCTGAGCAGCCCTGGTCCCCAGCAGGGAGGGCGTAAGAGCCGGTCCCTGCTGCACAGCTGCACAGTGCTCAGGGACCCGAGCTGGGGATGTGCTGTGCCGCGGCAGTGAGATGCTCATGCTATGCCCATTTCAGGTGAAGCACAACCTGCTCAGCAACTCAACCCATGGCAGAATTGTGGCCAACCTGCGTGGGGACATCCAGCACCTCAAGCACCAGCTGTACACCGCATCAGGACCAGGCAAGCACTGTGCCATCCGCTACACCCAGGGTATGCCTGGCCCCACTGTGCTGCCCCAGAGCTGCAGGGCTCGGTGCTGACACCCATATTCCCAGCCCAGGTTCAGCTGCGGGACAAGCTGCTCAATGCCTGCCGTGAGCAGGCAGCCCTGTGCCAGCACCTGGTTCAGCTGGAGGGCACAGCACTGCACACCCGGCTGGCAGCTGCCCGGCACCTCCGCATACTCACTCGGTATGTGGGTGCAGGTGGGGTCCCCAGAGAACTGGCTGTGTCACTGAGACCCCAAAATGCCTCCTGCAGCTGGAAGAGGAGAGCATGGCGCTGGGACAAGGAGGGGCAAGGGAAGCCAGGGGGGCCCAGTGAGAGCAAGAGGAACACAGACACGGATATGCCAGAACCACCCAATGTGATCACAGCACAGGAGAGCTTCATGGCACTGGTGGAGAAGCAGGGCAGACTCCAGGAACAGAAGGTGCGGGAGCCCCAAATGCAGCATCCACAGCTCAACCCCACATCTGCAGGGAGCTGAGCTTGACGAGTTCCTGCCTAACAGCACCACTCACCCCAGAGCACTGGGATGCGTGCAGAGGGTAAAAGGCCAGGCAGGTTGGAGGCCCTCTAGCAGGGATGCTGTCCCCTGGGAAGGAGGATGACCCCCGCGTGTGCCCACAGGCAGAGCTGGAGAGGCGCTTCCAGCAGAGCCAGCAGCACACCCGGCAGCTGGAGGAGGCTGTGCAGCGCGGGAGCAGCTCTGTGCAGCAGCAGGAGGTGCTGGCCCTGCTGTGCCGCCTGCACCAGCTGCAGCTGCACAACGCAGAGCTGCGTTCCCACTCCCTGCTCCAGGGTGGCTCCTGGCACTTCCCAGCCACTGCCATGCAATCCTTCAACCAGCACCAGGCTCCCCGTGCCGCAGAGGTGAGCACAGCACACCCACAGTACCAGGGTCAGGCGAGTGGCTGTGCTGCGGTGACGGTGCCACTGCGCCATGGAGACATTGAGCAGCGCCAAAAGCATCGTGGCCGTGGCTACTCCATGTCAGTCCTGTGTGCCACGTGTCCCCGAACTGAGGCATGTTGCCAGCAGGGACAGCCTGGAGGGAACAGCCACCCTCCTGGGGGCCATCCAGCCCGGCCCCTCCCCAGGCGCCTGACTGTGCGTGTGCAAAAAGCTGGAGGAGAGAGAAGAGCCGCTGGATGTCAAAAGGAGGAAGAGGCAGCTGCAGCCCTTCGAGGTCGCCAACCACGGGGTAGGTGGCAGCAGCACCACAGCCTGATGAGAGCACCAGGAGACACATTTCTGTCCATCTCCCCAGCTCCAGGCAGGACTGGCACCCATCGCTCAGCTGTGTTGTGGCGATTGGCCCAAGGACCTCCAGCAAGGACAGGTGGAACCCCCAGTGCTGAGCCGAGCTCCCCGCCGAAGCACAGCCATCCCCGTGCCAAGCAGTGGGCTGAGCACCCATCCTGCCCACCTCAGCGCCCCACATAGCCCACAGCGCCAACTCTGCCGGGGCCAGTTGACCAAACCTCCCCGTGGGACACACACAGCTGTGCTGGGCAATGACCGTGTGGCTGCTCAGCACCTCCGTGGCTCAGCAGAGCGGCACAGGAGCTGAGGTTTATCCTTTTGGAGCATTAAAAGGAGGCACATGAAGACTGGGAGTGGTGTGACAGCTGATGCGTCCCTGTGCCCACCCATCCCAAGGCACAGGGGATACACAAAGATGCCCCGCGCTCCCTGCACTCATTTTCTGCTTTTATTAGGAAGGAGGTGAAGGACACCCAGGCAGGAACAAGGCGCTGTTCTCCACAAGTGTCCTTTGCTGGGGGAGGCAGCTGGACCCCTGTCCCACTGCACCCCAAGCTGCAGCCATGTTGGTGCAGAGGTGGCACTGCAGGGGCTGTCCCTGTGTCCCCATGCCACATGGTTGCACATTCCCTGTGCTCTCCGCAGGCACCCAGGGATGGCAGTGGGGACAGCAGGAAGAGGCAGGGAGCAGAGGGACCCCCATCTACCTATAGAGAGGGGACAAAGAGGCAGAGCCCCATGCTCACAGCCCCGCTACTTCTTCACCTTGATGAGGGAGTGGTAGACAGGCTTGATGATGATGTGCAGGTGCAGGGCATTGTCGATGAGGTACTCGGAGGTGCGCTTCTGCAGGTCGGCATGGGCAAGGAAGTCAGCCGTCTCATCCGAGCTCTGGTGGAAGCTGTAGGCATGCTTGACAAAGATGCGGCCCTGCTGCCGCACACCCACCAGCACCGTCTTCTGGAAGCTGACACCAGCAAAGTCGGGGCTGCTGGTGGCCGGGGTGACAACGAGGCGCGGGCGGCCATCCTCGATGCGCACCGGTTGGATGGCGCTGGACACCGAGTCCGAGTAGACAGGGCGCAGGCTGACGGGCAGCCAGCGTGGGGAGAAGAGCACGTTCCAGGTCACCCGCTTGCCGGAGTCGTGGCTGCTGGGCCCGAGCTGGGTCTGGAAGCTGGTGCTGCGGTCATCCCGTGCCGGGTTGTTGATGACCCACTGGGAGCCCCAGCTGGGTGCGAGGTAGTTGCGGGGCAGGAACATGCTGCAGTTGACGTCGAAATACTTGGCAAAGTGCAGAGGGGACGCGGCGTGGAACTGGAAGGCCTGGAAGAGCAGGTCCTGCACCGCGCTGTAGTGCCGCACCAGCACCGCCGACTGCGTCTGCAGCCGGAACAGCTGGCTGGGGGCGATCATGGGATAGCGGATGGCACGCAGCACCCGCTCAGCCACAGCGTCCTCGGGCTGCCGCCGGGCCAGCCAGGCTTCCACAGCAGTGTAGAGCTCCAGCTCGCTGTGCAGCACCAGGTCAGAGCGCTCCAGCAGCAGCAGCAGCAGCTCCACGCTGACCGAAGCCCACTCGGCGCTGCTGAGCACGGACGACAGGTTCCAGGCCAGGAACTGCAGGCAGCTCTCCTGCAGCGCCGTGTCCCCGATGCGTGCAGCGTAGTGGTACCAGCCCACCACGTGGCCCTGGTTGGACTCGCTGGCCAGGTGGCTCCTCATGTAGTCGGCCACGCCACGCTGCAGCCCCCACACCCGGTACTTGCTGGCCAGCTGGTGCAGGGGGATGGCTTGGTGCAGCAGGAGGGACACCCCCCCACAGTACAGGTACCTGGGGTGGAGCGTGGGGTGGTGACACTGCTGTTCTCTGTCTCTATTCCCAACCCACTGATCCCTGAGAGAGCATCCTCCTCCTTCCTTGACTGCATCCTTCGCATCCCATAGGGCCCCTGAGAGGACATCCTTCTTTGGCTACATCCCTCCCAGCATCCCCATCCTGCAGGGTCCATGAGGGGACATCCTATCCAGTTGGCTCCATCCCTTCTGCTGTCCCCTTCCCATTGGGTCCTTGTGGAACTGAAGGGAGCATCCCTCTGGGCATCTCTTTCCCCCGGAGTTCCCACTGTCCCCATGGGAACACCTCCCTCCTTGACAGCATCCCTCCCATGGGTATCCCCATCCTGTGGGCTCCCCACGCACCTGATGAACTTCTCAAAGAGCGCAGCAGTTTCAGGCGGCTCATGCAGGGTGACAACACTCTGGTTGCGCAGGAGCCCCTCGAAGACCTCACTCTGGAGGCTGAGCAGCAGTTGGTGGGTGTGGAAGACCTTGGCCTCATCAGAGGCAGCCGTGCGCACCCGCAGCACCGAGTCGCTGCTGTTGCCATTCTGTAGCAGCTCCTGCAGCCTCTGCAGCAGCGTCAGTGAGTGGTTGATGGTGGCCGCAGTGGCATCGCCGCTGAGGTCAGCTTTCTGGGCTGTGGGGAGGTGTTACTGTCCCACTGCTGTGCCCCAGCACCAGGCACAAGAGGGCAGGATGTGTGACTAACAGGGCGCTGGGGAAGCTTTGCTTTGTGCGCATCCTCCCTGTGCTCCCCACAGTGCCAAAGGGTTGCCTGCTGCCAAGGGTATGTGGGGAGGACAAGGGGACATAGGGACAGCTGTGTCTTTGGAAGCCAACAAGCTGCCTTTCTGCAGCAGAAGGAATAAGACCACCATGTACCAAGCTGGGACGTGCTGGGAAATGGCCCTGTGCCAGGCATGCTGGCACACAGCCTGGGCTGCCAGCCCTCTTCTGTCCCCATGTGGGCAGAGCATGCCCTGAAAACTGCCCCAGACCCCAGCCTTCCCAAGTGGCTGACATGGAGGGGCATACGAAGTAGGTTTTGGGACTCCCTGCAGGCTGAGGTACCAGTGGCCCCACTGCAGTAGTAGGTGCTGCTAGGATGGCACTACACCGTGCCTGTTCCCAGCATGATCCCTGCCTCCTCCTGGTGCTGTGAACCCACACCTCCCATGCACAGGGAGAGTGCAGGGAGCTCTGTTCCTGTGGGTACAGGGAGCCTTCCTCCTGCTCCTCACCCTCCCACATGCTTGGCACACCTCCCGCTTCCTCCCCAGCTCATCTTGATGAATTTGGCTCCATCTCTCCAATCTGCTTCTGGCCGGCTGGCAATCCCACAGATTACCCATCCCAGTGCCGGCTTAAGACCAGCTGAGCAGGGATCAGGAGGTAATTGCAGTCCCTCGCCCCGCAATGCCCGCAGTGCTGAGCCCTGCGCTGGGCAGCCCGACCTCCCCGAGGGGCACAGCACACCCAGGAGCCACATCCATCCTCCCCCACAGCACAGCACAGTGTCTGGAGAGCCGCACTCAGCCCTAAATCACCGCCACGGCACAAAGAGTTGGGGGACCCAGGTCCCCCTCCAAGCCTCCCCCCACCACCGCCGCCCTTACCAGCTTGCACGGTGAGGAGGAGGAGGAGGAAAGCGGTGGCAGCGCAGCCCCAGCGGCGGGCAGCTGGGGGCCGGGTGCCCGTCAGCCTCGCCATCGTTTCGCATCTGCCGGGGCGCGCGGTGCCCGACGGACGCTTATGTAGGCCACGAGCCCCCCCAGCCCGCACCGCCACATCGATTGGTGGAAACTGGGACCCGCCGTTACCAAGGGAACGGCTTCCAGCCCCGATCCATCCCACCCCGGCCCCCAGCCCCACATCCCAGGGCGTCGTGCTCCAGCGAGCCCCGGGCACAACGTGGGGTCGCTGCCGCTCACTGCCGTCGGACCGTGCCGGCCCCGTGCGCAGCCACAGCTCTTTGTGCTGCGGGGACGCACTGGGGCTTTTGCATTCAGGGCACAGTGCGTGCAGCCTCCCGGCTCCCCCAGCTCATGGGTATTCATGGCGGCGGCAGCCCTCGCCCTCCCATCACCATGGCATCGGGCTGCCGGCAGGAACTGCCTGCCCTTTTCCCAGCCTTTGCAGCCAAGACACTGCGTGCGCTGCACGAGTGCCCGGTGCCGGCCCTCACTGGCCCCTCGCCCACCCCGACGGCTCGTGCAGGGCTTTGCAATGGCACGGGGCACCAGAAATGAGATGAAGATGGGGATGGAGGTGGGGGTGGGATGGTGAGGATAGAATGAGATAGGAATGGGATTTCAGTCTGTCTGTTAGGCACCTGGGCCAACTTTCCAGGAGACAACACCAAACGATGCTGTGACCTTCAGCGTGTGGCAGTGGCGTGCCCTGCTCGGACTGGAGCCGCACAGGGGAATATTAGCCAGTTCCCTGTTATCGAGTAGCTGTCTGAGCTGATGGGATTAGCGCTGGCGTCGGCGTTATTGCAGCTTTGGTGTTAAGCTGCTAAGTGAAGCGCAAACTCAACGAGGCTGCCGAGCATTTCACGCTCGCTCCCAGCCCCACTGCTGGCAGCGTGGCACCCGGCAGCTCGGTGCAAGAAGGATGCTGTGTGCACAGGGAGTGCACGGGCACAAAGGCCAGGAGTGCGTGCAGCAAGGCAGGATGGCTGTGACATTGGCCGGGACTCTCTGCAGGGTAGGGAGGCTGTGGCCAAGCAGGGGGTGCTCAGCCCATCTGCCCCTTTTGCGTCAGAGCGCCCGGCCCCGGCACGGTGCCTCCACAGCCGGAGGTGTTCTCATGCCAGGGAGGGCACTTAAGGACAGGGTCCAAATCCAGAGTGTCTGGAGGAGGATGGGGATGGGGGATAAGGGACTCCATCCTTGAGCACAGCCTGGTGCAGGGGGGTGAAGGAGGAGCGTGGGATTAAATGGGGTCTCCAGATGTTGAGTGTGAGCAGATGTGGCTGCAGCTCAAAGGATGGCTGCCCATCTGGTTCTGCTCCACTGAGGTGAGATGGAAGATGAGCTGCCCATCAGCTGCATGCTGCACTCCTAGCTCTGCCCAGCCCCTCATGGGGGGCAACAGGGACAGAAGGGGGCAGGGGTACAGAGCACCTGGCCCCTTGGATGTGCCCAGCCAGCAGCTCTGCAGCCCGGCAAGGTGGGTGACAGCACAAACAGAGCAAACAGTCCGGGTGCACTTTCCTGCTGCAATAGGGAGCAGGGGACAGGTGGGCCGAGGGGCCCCTGCAGAGACACAGCCTGTTAATGGCTCACCACATCTGCTGCTGCCTCATTTAACCACCCACCTGCAAAACAACAGCTTGCCAGGAGTGTGTGCTTGGCGGCACTGTGCCAGCATGGCTCCATCCTGCAGGGTCCCCCACTGTGCCCGGCCAGGGGTTATCACCCTTCAGTTGGACACAGAGCAGGGCAGCACAGGCTGCAAGGGTGAGGGATGTGGGGACTATGGGGATAGTACTGGCAGTGCTGTGTTCAGCCCCTAAACCTCATGATGGAAAAGCTGCTGCACTGATTCTGTGAACTGCAGACCTGTGCCAGGCAGCTCCTGCAAGAAGGGGACATCGGTGTCCCCACCAGCAGCTCCTACATCCCTGTGCTGCTGGGGAAACTGAGGCACAAGCAGACATTCCCTGCAGCATGGCCTCCACACGAGGGGACTGGAGTAGTACACACATGGGCACAGACACACACATGTGAATGCACACACACACACATACACACTCAGACAAACCCAGACCTGGCTTAGGAGTGAGGTTGTGTCCATCTGTCCTGGAGGAAAGGAAGGAGCCTGTGCTGCAGGAGGGACAGTAAAGTGTCAGCCCCTGTGTTCCCCTGAGCCTCTAGGTGTGCAAAACACATGGTGACATGGGAGCAAGCTGCACCCAGAGCACCATCCCTGTCATGCTGGGGTGGGGATGAGTTCTGTCCCCGAAGCTCAGCCTCCCCAGGGGCCCCCATCCGCGGCTCGGGGGCAGCAGCGAAGCTCGGGGCCATCCCATCCCGCGGCTCTGCCCACGCCGCTCTCCCTCCCCCCCGCGTCTCCACGCACCCCAGGGGCTGTGCCATGCTGCGGCCGCCTGCGGGAACAGACACGCACTGAAGGTGGCACCGCACGCCTAGAGGATAGCACGAAAGCCACCAAGGTGAGAGCCCACCGGGCACAGGAGTGGGACCTCGGGTAGAGGAGGGGGGCGAAGGACCCGGACCGGACCCCTCCCAGCAGGCAAAGTGCCTTTCTGCAGAGTCAAGGACTCAGGGCTAGGGAAGGGTTAATACGATCCTGCCGCAGCCGATCGATGCCCGTTTTCCGGGGGGCACAAAGAGACCGGGCTCGCTGATTAGCCAGATCTGATTATCAGTTAATTAGCATCACTCTTCTCTCCCACATAGCCCCGGGGTTTGGGGGTCTGCTCGGGTCGATGCTGGGAAAAGGGGCCAAAGCCTTCTAGGCTCGCAGGGAGGGAAGTATAGGGATCCCCCTATTGTCCCCCTCCCGGCCCAACCCCAGGCATTGCGGGGGGCTGGGGGCAGGCGCTGTGCGGGAGCTCGGGTGGAGCTTGGCGCGGGGGTCGCGATGCTCCGTTGGTCCCGGAGCCGTCGGGGCTTGGCCGAGCTCGGCTGCTGGGGGGCGCTGACGGCCTGGACCCCCTCGGGTGGGGGGGCAGAGGAGAACGTACAGGACTGAGAGCAGCAGCGGGGGCTAAGCTGAGCCAGGGCGATATAGAGGCCACGGGGGGCCGGAATGGGGCCAGCATGAGGGGTCAGGTTAGGACACGGCCCTCCCGGTCTCAGGACCCCAAGGCTCCATGCCGCCGCCGCACGACCCCCGTCGCCGCCCCGCACTAGGACCCAGCTTCCCGCGGGAAATGCTAATTTGGGACCATTCCGACCAATCACAACGCAGCGCTCGGGTGTGGCATTCCCTCGCTCTCGGAGGACGCCTCTCTGATTGGCCGCAGCCTGGCGCCCTCGGGCCAATAGGAGCGCGGGGCGCGGAGCGGGGGTTTGTGAATGGGGTCGGGCGCGGGGTCGCATCCCGCACGGGGCTGTGCGGGGCCATCCCCTGGCACTGCCAACTCCCGGCCCCTGGCCCCGCACCCCGGGCACCAGCCAGGTCCGCACCCCTGCGGCAGCCGCCCAAGGACATCTTGTTTTAAGCCAGCTTTCTTCGAGTCTATAAAACGGGGCCAGGGGAGATAAACAACGATCACATCCGGCAGCAGAGCCACCCTGGTGCCCCCGAGAGCGTCGTGTCCTACAGCTCTAAAATGCGCTATCAGGCATGGGGTGAGCAGAGCCACCCCGGTGTCCCCATGCCATGCCCCCGCCGGTGGTGCCCTCACCCCTCTGAGTCTCCCCGTGTCCCCCCTCAGCCAACACGTGGTGGAGGGCGATGGTCCCAGTGCCCAACAGCACGGCGGTGACATGGCCGGAGCCGGAGCGGTCGCCCTGCATGGTTGGCATCTTCCCTGTCGTGTACTACAGCATCCTGCTGGGCCTGGGGCTGCCAGGTGAGGGGTCAAGGGCTGCCAGGGTTGAAGGGGCAGAGCTGCAGCTCCCAGCCTGACCCCACAGATTTTGGGGTGTGGGGTCTCTATGCTCCCTGCAGTGCCATTCGCCTCGGTGTAACCCCAGCCCCATTAGTGGGTGCCACAGCAGTGGGGGCAGATGGTATTTGCATTGCTGGGGCTGAAACTGGAAGGGATTAATCAGCTCTGCAAATCCCCATGGCACCACGATGTTTATAGTTCCCCAGCCCCCTCTGCACCCCACCAGGCGCTGTGGAGCTGAGTGTGGCACCGGGGGGCTGTGAGCCCGGGGTCTGACCGCCCATCTGGCACCACTTCCCTCCCTCCAGTAAACGTCCTGACAGCCGTGGCCCTGTCCCGCCTGGCCACGAGGACCAAGAAGTCATCATACTGGTACCTGCTGGCCCTCACCACATCCGACATCCTCACCCAGGTCTTCATCATCTTCGTGGGCTTCATTCTGCAGACGGCCATCCTGGCACGGGCGGTGCCCCGCGCCTTCATCCACATTGTCAACGTTTTGGAGTTCACAGCCAACCACGCCTCCATCTGGGTCACCGTCCTGCTCACCGTGGATCGCTACGTGGCCCTGTGCCACCCGCTGCGGTACCGCGCCGTCTCCTACCCCCGCCGCACCCGCAGGATCATCGCCGCCGTCTTTGCCGTGGCTCTGGCCACCGGCATCCCCTTCTACTGGTGGCTGGACGCCTGGCGTGACGCCGACCCACCCACCGCACTGGACAGGGTGCTCAAATGGCTGCACTGCGTCACCATCTACTTCCTGCCCTGCAGCATCTTCCTGGCCACCAACTCCGTCATCATCCACAAACTGAAGCAGCGCGGGCGCTCCGGAAGACGCCAGCCGCACCGAGGCAAAACCACAGCCCTCCTCCTGGCCGTCACCACTGTCTTCATCGTGCTCTGGGCGCCCCGCACCGCTGTCATGATGTGCCACCTCTACGTGGCCTCGGTCAAGCGGGACTGGCGCGTGCACCTGGCCCTGGACATCGCCAACATGGCAGCCATGCTCAACACCACCCTCAATTTCTTCCTCTATTGCTTTGTCAGCGAGACGTTCCGCCGCGCCGTGAGCGAGGTGCTGTGTGCCCACACGTGGCATGGCCCCCGCCACAGCGGCGCCCGCGTTGTGCCCCCAACCCTGAGCCCACTGCAGCTGCTGGGCACGGCGTGCTCAGCAGAGGGCTGCCACCAGCTGGGGGTCTCGATGCTCAGCCAGCACCCAGTGGGACCGTGCCCGAGGGATGCTGCCCCGCTGCGCCCACACCCACAGAGCTGCGGTGCTGGGGGTGGTGGGAGCTCACAGCTGCTCTCCAGCTCCAACAACGCAGCAAATCTACGCCCAGGTGAGCTCTGCAGCCCCGGGGAGGAGGCAATGTGATGGGGTTGAGCTCTCCTGCATAAACTCCGATGTTCAGTCTATAATGCTGCGTGGGTCTGGCTCCGTCTGCGTCCCTCTGCTCAGCCTGGTGCCCTCAGGGTGCTGGAGTCCTGCGTGACCCGGCTCCCACCCATGTCCCCACTGCGTGGCACGCACACAGCTCAGAGCCACGCTCTCGCTTACACCACCACACTGCTGCAATGCTGAGTGAGCAGCCGGGGCCGTGCCAGCCTCCCTGCCTGTCCCCAGCTGCCACCAGAGGGCAGGGACAGGACACCCAGCAGAGCTGGCACAGGCAGCAGCAGGGAGCTGGCACCCGTGGGAGCAGCCGGGTCCGGAGCAACAGCCCTGCCTGCCCCACTTTCCATCCTAATTCTCCCATAAGGTCCTTACTATAATCCCCCCCAAACAGAGCGGCCTTTCCACTGTAATTCCTCATAAACCAGCACCCATGGAGCTGCCCCAGTGCTGGGGGGCTCGGCTGACCCTGGAGTATTTGGGCTGCCCCAAGCAGGGCACAGAGAGCAACCCAGTGCCCTGCGCCCACCAGGCTGAGCCCAGCACTGTGGTGGGATGGGGCACAGTAGGATGCCCACCTACCTTTGCTCCCACTGCACGTAAGGTGAGCCCAGGATGACCTCATGATGTGGGGCTGACCCACACGGGTACAGGCACACATCTAGGGCGATGCTCCTCACACTCTGCAGCCCTGGGCATAATGCTGACCCCTGCATTACATCGGGGGGATCCGACCCCCAATGCCCTGTTCCCACCAACAGGGTTCAGCCCGAGCCTCGCTGGGGTGGGTGGTAGCCGGGAGGTCCTCGCTCCATTAATTCTGGCATTTCAGGAGAGGACTGGGGCCAGATTAGACATTAACCCAGCGGTGAGCACCTCCTGCCGCCCCGCACCCTCCTGCAGGATTTCCCACCCCATAGCCTGGCCAGGGGCCGCACTGTGGGGCTGGGGGGGGGCACGAGGGCCTGGCTGGGAAGGGCAGCACTGAACCCAAGCGCCGGCCCCGTGTGCGGAGGCCAGGGCTGCCGCCAGCCCCCCCTCGCCCAGCGCTTATTTACTTGGAGAGGGAGGTGGAAACGTGCTAACCGCGTCCGCCTGCAGAGAGGGGCTCCTTTCTGGACAGAACCAGCTCAGATGGAAAACAGCTCTCCAGCCCCGGCGTAAACAGAGGTGACGGGCAGGGTGAGCACGTGGCCCCCCCCCGGCCCCCAGGTACGGCCCTCACCTTCACCAAGGTGAGCTGGGGCTCGGCCGCCGTGCTGCCGTCAGCTCGGCCCTGCGGCTCTGCAGAGAGGTAAGCCTGGAAAAAATGCGCCCGGCGTGCCCATGTTTTCGGAACGGGCCCGCTCCTGTCCTGCTCAGAAGCCTGGCTCTGATTCCTGGCTGTGCCGAGCGCTGCGGGGCTGGGAGACATCCGGCAGTGCTGCCATGGAGGGCTCAGTCCCCAGAACAGCAGGGCAGCAGGGCTGGGCTCTGCCCTTGCTCACTCCGTGCCAGGCACCAAACGCCCCAGCAAACAGCTGTATTGCACCCAGCTCACCCCACGGAGGGGTGTTGCCGTAGGACCTACAAAAACACCTCCTGAGAAACAGCAGGGGTGTGCAGCGTGGGTTGGACCAGCCGGTATGGGAGCGTGTGGGCTCCGTGGGGCAGCCACCATGTGATGGGCGCCGGTGGGAACGGGGGGCTGCGGGGCTGGGGCTGCTCTGTGCAGCGGAAGGAAGCACTGCAGGAAGCCGCGTGCAGCTCGGCCTCTGTGCAGCCCGGCGCTGGGGCAGCGGGGGCGGTGGGGAAGCGGGGCCTCGCTCCTAGGCAGAACTCGACTTCCTGGGGAAACTGAGGCACACAGAGGTCACGGCAGGAGGAGGGGAGGCAGCACAGCCCCTCTGCAGGGCGCTCAGCGCTGCTCAGTGCTTGTGTGAATGCGCACACGTGTGTGTTCCCAGCGGGGAGGGACGATCCTGCCCCAGTGCGGCGCTGGTAGCCAGGTGGAGGCAGGCAGATGGTGGCTGTGGGTGCTGTGGGTGCTGCTCCCCTTGCAGTGGTGTCACCAGCTCCGGCTCCTCGGGTTGTTTTCATACCAACCCGGGCTGGGGGAGGACCCGCCGGCGGCACGGTGAACTTTCGGCTGCATCCTTCACTGTCTTGCTTCACCCTCCCAAAATAGCAGGGCCCGCCTGGAAACCTCCTCTGGGACTGGCAGAGCAATGGGTGCCCTGAGCCTCAAAGGGCTCTTCCCCATCCCTGAGCCACAAGGATGGGGTGGCTGTGGGGTGCCATGGCCGAGACACGGGTGCAGCCCCGCTGTTGGGACCACCGAGCCCCGAAACCCCCGCAGGAAAGGCTCACCCGAGAGCGGTGCCAAGGGCTCAGCCGTCAGCTGACATTCCTCCGGGAGGCCCCTCGGGCCCCCGCCTGCGGCTGCTCGGCTGCGGTTACAGCTCGGGATGCTGCTGCTCCGGCGCGGCGTGCTGTGACCCCGGCACCCGACCGTTCTGAGACCCCGCCAACTCATTACACCGGTGCTCGAGTTCGCTCTGTGCTCGCTTCCACCCGGCGCTCGGTCCTCCCGTTTTGGGGGGGACGGTCCCCTTTCCTCTCCACCTGCCTCCCCGCTCCCGTGCTGCGGGTGCTCGGTGCGGCGGGGCAGGTCCCGGCCGGCTCCGGGCGCGCTCCCCGGGCAGCGGCCGCACCTCGGGGAGGGGCCGGGCAGGCGCGCGCGGTGCCGCGGGCTCGGGGCTCGCCGGCACGGCACGGCACGGCACGGCACGGCACGGCACGGCACGGCACGGCACGGCGGAGCGACGGGACACGGGGCGCTGGAGTCGGTGAGCGGGGCCGGGAGGGGTTAAAGGTGCGGGGCTGGAGGACACCGGGACCGGGAACAAGAAGGAGAAGGATACCGGGAGCGGTCGGGAGCCGTGCGCCCCACGGGCTCTTCTGGACGGAAAGTCGGGGGAGCACCTGGACCAGCCCGAGTCGGGGCGGGGAACCGGGTCGGTGCCGCTGGGAGGAACGGCGGAACCCTGTCCCTTGGTGTCCCCATCCGCCGCGGGCCGGGGGCGGCAGGGGATGGGTCCCCCGGTGTCCTCACCGCGGACGGGAGGTCCCAGCCCGGGGGGGCACCGCGGAGCCTGGACACCACTGTTTGCGGGGTCCCGGAAGGGGAGTGGGTTGGGGGCCTTCGGGTCCCTCAGAGCGGGGGTTTTGGAAGCGGAGGCAGTGAGCTGGGGGCTGGAACACCCCCCCGTCTCAGCCCCGGAGTGACCTTGTTGCTGTTTTCTTGCCCGGTTTCCTCCCAGAGGGGAGCGCAGGGGCTGCAGCTCGCCCCTCTCCTTCCTCATTCCCTGCTACCGGCACTCTGCGGTCCCTGGGGCTGGGAGTGGGAACAGACCCCGTACCCACAGGGCAGCGCCGTGCTGTGCCATGCCGTGCCACACTGTGCCATGCTGTGCCACACTGTGCCATGCCGTGCCATACTGTGCCACGCCAGGCTGCGGCTGCGTGTGACCAGGAGCGCTGGCGGGCACGGTCAGAAACGAGACCCGTGGTGGGTCAGTGCCCGGAGCCACAGGAGGGAAGTGGGCCAGGAGAAGCAAAAAGGGGAACGAGCTGGTTTGCAAAGCCGTGCTAGCATGCAACCCCAAGTATCTCCAAGTGTTAGCTCTGCTGCCCAGCCCAGACCCATGCTCGGTTCCTCCAGAGGCCCACAGGCACAGTGCTGCATCCAGGCAAGGAGGTGACAGGAGATGGTCGTCTGCCTGCTCTGATCTGGAGCCGCTTTGGGCTGTGGTGGGTTGGGCTCACCGGGAGCTGATCACTTGCCACAGAGATGCTCCAACACCTGCAGACAGCACAGGCAGCACCAGCTCCTGCTTCCGGCTCTGTAATGCTTCTCTTCCTCACAGGGTCCGTGGATCCCCGCTTGGCACCCACCTGCCGTGCAGGATGGGTGCTGCGGTGCCAGCAGCCGCCTGTGTCCTGCTGGCTCTGCTGCCCGTGGGCCGTGCCCAGAGCACCCCTCCATCAGGATGCAGCCAGGACCTCTCCTCGCTCTACTACAACCTCTGTGACCTGTCAGCAGCATGGGGCATCGTGCTGGAGGCCGCAGCCAGCCTGGGTGCCGTGACCAGCTTCGTGCTCACCATCGTGCTGGTGGCCAGCCTGCCTTTTGTGCAGGACCCCCAGAAGAAGAGCCTGGTGGCCACGCAGGCCTTCTTCTTGCTGGGCACCTTTGGGCTCTTCTGCCTGACATTTGACTTCATCGTGGGGCGAGATTTCTCCACCTGCACCTCTCGTCGCTTTCTCTTCGGTGTCCTCTTCGCACTCTGCTTCTCCTGCCTGCTGGCACACGCCGTGGCCCTCAATTTCTTGGCACGGAGGAACCGTGGCCCACGAGGCTGGGTGACGCTGGCGGTGGCTCTGCTCCTGGCACTGGTGGAGGTCATCATCAACGCCGAGTGGCTCATCATCACAGTGGCCCGGCAGGAGGGCGGACCCACGGACCCCTGTGGGCTGGCGGATGCTGATTTCGTCATGGCGCTCATCTATGTCATGGTGCTGCTGGTGGCTGCTTTCGGCACTGCCTGGCCAACCCTCTGCGGCCGCTACACGCGCTGGAGAAAGCATGGCGCCTTCATCTTGGCCACCTCCGGGCTCTCCATGGCCATTTGGGTGGCATGGACGGCCATGTACCTCTACGGGAACCAACACGTGGGCAAGAAGCCCAGTTGGGATGACCCCACGTTGGCCATCGCTTTGGTGTCCAACGCCTACGCCTTCATCCTCCTCTACGTCATCCCCGAGGTGACGCACGTGACACGGCGCAGTTCTGAGCAAGGCTACGAGGACGACGTGTACCCCACGCGTGGGGTGGGCTACGAGACCATCCTGAAGGAGCAGAAATCGCAGAGCATGTTTGTAGAAAACAAAGCCTTCTCCATGGATGAGCCTTCCTTCGGTAGGCACCGGGCTGCGGGGTCAGCACAGCACGGCACAGTGAAACGTCTGCTGCCACGACGCGCCCAGCGGCCGGGAGCCGTGCCCGCATTGTTGTGGCTCCCAAAAACACGCCGGGCTGGGTGTACCAGTTGGGGCTGAGCTCAGCCGCTCCGGGCGCGCTCCCCTCCCCGGCGTGGGGTGCCCACGGCTCCCAGCCCTCCGCCCTGGGTTGGCTCTTTGCTCGTTAATGGAAGCAGCGTCAGTGAGGTGACAGCACTCGAGAGAACTTGCAATAACACTGGGGGTGCCCCTCCCGCCCTGCAGTGATGCAAACCCCAGGGACGTCCCCAGGGAAGGGCATAGGGCAGCTGGCTGCTGTCAGCTCATTAAGCTGCTAACGAGGCCCAGCTCCCAGGTAGGGTGGCTGAGTGAGGCCCCTGTTTTCACCCTTTTCACCGTCCCTGTCTCTTTGCAGCCAAGAAGCCGGTGTCCCCATACAGCGGCTACAATGGGCAGCTGCTGACCAGCGTCTACCAGCCCACAGAGATGGCTCTGATGCACAAGGGGACGGTAAGGGCAGCACCAGTGCCTTCCACATGGAGATGAGCTTTTACCGAGCTGATCAATAACAGGTGGCTGGGATGGGGCCAGATAAAGGTATATAGGGTACACCTGATCCTCAAATCAGGTTGGGATGCTCGGTGCTGGGGTGGGTCCTTTCCTTGCTGAGCTCCCTAGGAGCGTTCCCAGTCCCCTGCATTCCCCTGTGCCCCCGCAGAATGAAGGTCCTTATGATGTGATCCTGCCCCGTGCCACCGCCGCCAGCAGTGCCAGCTCCACGCTGCGAGCCGAGGATGCCTTTGCCGTGCAGGCCCGACACGCTGCAGCACAGCGAGATGCTCGGGGCAGCCAGGTGGGTTAATGAGCAACAAGCAGCGGGGAGGGGGCAGTGGTGCTGGGCTGCTGGCCAGAGTCAGGGTGCAAAGTCTGCCTACGCTGCAGAGTTTCCCATGCAGGCAGGGGTGGGGATGGCGCCGGGTGGGGATGGCTCTGAGCTGCTCAGCGCCCAGTGCCATCCTGCTGTGCCTGCAGGTGCTGTCCCCATACAGCAGGAACCGGTGGTGAAGCCCAGATCCTACAGCACTGGTGCAGCTGTGACCCTACCATGCCTCCTTGCCTGGTGCATCTGACCCTGTTGGAGCCAGTTCCTGAGCTGGGAACATCTGGATGCACCATGCTGCCTGGCTGTGGCACCGCAGGCTGCCTGCTCTGCCCAGCTCCCCACTGCCACCCCATGCTGTCCCGACACTGCCTTCACCATGCACGGACACCATGTCCCCTCTGGGCTGGGGATGTTTTGCTGCTGGACAGCCAGCAGTGGGGGGGGGAGGGAGGTGCCTGCCCAGGGCTGCACCTCATGAACCTTGCCAAGTGCTGAGCCCAGACCAGGGCACTGTACCCCAAGCCATCCCCAGTTCTCCCAACCCTCGTGCTGTGCCTCGCTCCCCCTGTCACTGGGGGACTTGGGGGTGCTCTGGGTCTCAGCTCCCAGTGGCTTCTCCCCGCGGCTCCAACCGCCTGATCTGTGCCTTGTCCCAGTCTCCATGCCAGAGCTTGAGGATCACATTCAGGGCACTGGGATGGAGCTGGGCCCCCTCCTTCCTCTGTTCCTCTCCCCTTTTTCAGGTCAGACCCAATAAAGGTGAGTTTTCCTATGTGGTCTTGTAGTATGATGGGGATGGGGTGCCCAGCTGCATTGCATCCATCAGCCAAGGGCTTCCACCTCTGTGCCATCGTGCTCAGTCCTTCCTCCCTTCCTTGGTGGCACTGTGGATCCCCAGCGTGGCCCCAAGTGGCCTCATGCTCCTGCACTGGGGCCAGGGTGCAGATGGGGCGGCTGTGCCAGGATGGGCAAATGGATACCCTGCAGAAGGTAGCATGGTGCAGAGGACATGCCAAGGTCAGGGGCAGCTTCTGCTCAGATTGCCTTTCTCTTCTGCAGCAATTTCTGCTGCGGGCAGGAAGCCTGTGGCTGAGCCAACGGGAGCATTATGAATTATTCAGGGCTGAAATGGCTCCATAGTGGTTGGCTGGGGGAGGTGGGTGACCCGGTCTCCTTGAAAGCACCATGTGCAAGTATTCAGCACACACTGTGTCCCAGTCCTGCAGGCACATCCCCCTGCTCCCCAGGATGCTCCTGGCAGTGGGGACATGGCACAGCCCTTTCATGACACAGCAGGTGCCAGGGCAGGTGATGGTGTGCAGTAGGAGCAGGCTCCCATCAGACACTGCTTGTGCCCCTGGGGTTGTGCTGCATCACTCATGTTTACCTGGTGCCAGCTAGCTGTGGGGACGTCTCCAGGCAGCACCAAGAGCTCCAAGTCCCTGGGGCTGCCACAGCCTGCCCTCCTCCTGGCACTGCATGGCACATGGTGTGTGTCCCCTCTGCTAAGCTGGGTGCACCACAGCTGCCCTGACCTGTGCAAGGCACACTGTGGTCCCCAACCAGCAGCACAGCACAGCCATCCTGGGGTGACACAGCCCTGGGGACAGCAGTCCATATAAACAAGGTGCACAGACACTGTTCCCATTCAGCCCTGTGCAAGGACTCAGGGCTGGGTTGGGCTGTGCCATTCCGGTGCTGCCGGTGGCCTCAGCCCCTCCGGAGCCCCCAGTCTCTGCCAGTGCTGGCCGCAGGGCGGCCCTGCTCCAACAGGCAGCGCTTTGTGCGGCACGGGGCTGAGGAACAGCGCTGCCTTTGTCCTGTGCAGGTGAAACAGCCGCACGGGCACACGTGGGCTGCTGTGCTGGGAGTGATCTGCAGCCCTGGGGCTGAGAGCAGGGGGCAGCTGAAGGGGCTGTCATCTCCAGCACAGGGCACAGATGGGGTCCCAGCAGCAATCTTGGTGACTGGCAGGAATGTGGACTGGACATTCTGAAAGCACGGGGAGCATGGCTGAGGACTGCGAGTTCATGCAACAACTCCAAGGGGTGAGAGCGACGATGGAGGAAAGTGCAGGTGAGTGTGGACTCAGCATAAGAAATGCTCTGCGTACTTGGGCTTGGCTTGCTCCCCTCCTCACTGCAGCCAGAGCAGGAAATGGTCATGCACAGTGTCCAGCAGAGGCTCCTGTCCCTACCAGAGGACATGCAGTGCCAGCCTGTGGTGACAGCAATGCCATGCTGCAGGCTGGGACTGCCATCTGCTGGCATGCAACACAGCGCTGTCCCTTAACAGTCACTGCACGCTGCCAGCAAAGCTGGGATGGTGCAGGAGGCACAAACAAGCGTACATCATCAGCATTTATCAGCACTTTTACTACAAACAGGTCCGTGGCCCCATAACCTCATAGGTAGGCCCCTACCTTCTGTAGGTTGCCCACTCCGAGGTGCTAAGGAAGGGCACAGGTCTCTGTACTGGCAGCAAAGTGGGAACAGGATGACAGTCCCCACTGAGTCCCAGGGTTCCATGTCCCCAGTGCTGCCTGTGCGTCCACCTGACCATCACAAGGGCAGTGTAATCCTAACGCTGCTCCACACGGGGGTCCAGGGGTTGCATCCCCTCGCTGGGACAGGTGGGCTCAGCCTGGTACCCTGCTGCTAGGCTGGGTGGCTCCCCGTGCCGCGTCCCGCTGCTGCTGCTTGCGCCTCTGGATGTCCCGGTAGGCCTGGATGACACGCGCTCGCTCCTCCTGCACGATGCGCTGCCGAGCCAGTGATACTGGCACAGTGGGGGCTGCCCGGCTCTGGCCCAGGTGAGGTGTCAGCAAGAGCCGCTTCCGACCAGCCTATAAGCAGAAATGGGATGGGTCAGGGATGCAGAGACAGGCATGGAACCCCGTGCACCCAAAACCTCACCTTCTCGGTGGGACCCCCACTGCGGGGCCGTGAGGTGATGGTGGGTGGCTCTGTCACAACTTCACCGAATGCCACTGGGTCTGGGAGAGAACCTGGTGTCAGGGGGGACGCTGCTCCCACCTCTGCATGTGGGTCACTGCAGTCAGCCTCCCTGCACCATTGCCACCTTGGAACAGGCTCTTCTCCAGCAAAGCCTCTTTCTTCTCCTCCTTCTTCTTCCGCAGTTTGTCCAGCTTTTTGTTCTGAAACCTGAAGAGCTATCTTACAACCCGCAGGGAGGAAGAGAGCTTCTACCCCATGGAACCCCCTCGAAAGTCAAGCTCTGCTGCTCTCCCCTGCCTGGCCTAGCACCAGAAGTGTACAGCTGCTCCAAGGGCTGGACTCAGATCCAGCCCTGTAGAGCTAGGTCTCAGAATCAGAGCACGGCCCTGGCTGCCCCAGCCCCGCCTCAGCAGGCTTTGCTCTCACTCTTTCTTTCTCTGAGACTTCTGCGGTGCTGCCGCCTCCTTCTCAGGCTCCCGTTGCACCTGGTTCTTGCTGAGGACCAGCACATGCTGCACCTCCCGCTCCATGCGGCACACAAAGGAGCGCTCCGACTCCCCTCTGCGCCGACGGAACCTGGGCACAGGGATGTCCTCCTGTGCCTCGGTCCCCTGGAAATGCTGTGGCTTCTCTAGGAGAGACGGACAGCAAGATTACGGGCAGGGACAGGCTGGGATGGGGACATTTTAGAGGCTGCAGGCCCCCACCTGCTGCCCGCCTTGCCCGGGGCTTGGGGTGCTTCATGGCCTCACGGCTCTGCATGAGCTCCCGCAAGCGGAAAGGGATTTCTTGCTCGTCGGGGTGCTTGGGCTTCAGGTTGGCCAACGCCTTCTCCTTCCTGGGGGATAATGGGAACGGTATGGGCTGTGACGGGGCATCGGGGAGCCCGGTTCAGCGGGACGCAGCCGGCCTGGGAGCCGCACCGCACCGGGCACTGACCTGCCGCGTGGCGTGGCGGCGGCCGGGCCCCTTCCCGGGGTCGGTCCCTGTTCCTTTCCATGTCCCGCTCTCAGTCCTTGTCCCTTTCTTTTTCCCGGTCCTGATTCCAGCCCCTTTCCGCGTCCCGCTCCCTGTCCCTTCCTTCTCCCCTTCTCCACTCCCATGGCACCGCCGCTCCCCACGCGGCCTCCGCTCGCCCTGCTGCCTCCGCTTCCGGTTGCCCTCCGACGCCTCCGCCCCGCCTCCCTCTTCCGATTGGCTATGCTCCGCTGCCGCGCTCTCATTGGCTGACCTTGCCCAGAAGCTGGGCTACCATTGGGTGAGAAAGCCGTCGCTCGGGACGGGAAGGGAGGCGGGCCGTTGCCGGGGCGCGGCGGCGGGATGTTACTGCGGGCGGCGCGGGCGGCGCGGGGCCTGGCGGGGAGGGGACGGGAGGTGAGCGGGGACGGGGCGGGGCTGCGGCACAGAGGAGGGGCCTGGGGGGGCACGAGGGGGGTTGGTGGTAGGGTGGGGGTTGGGGAGTGGCCGCAATGGGGAATTTGGGGGCAGTAATGACGGTTCTGGAGGCTGCGCTGGGGTTCTAGGGGCCCTAGGAACTGCTCTGAAGGTTCTGGGGGCTGTTATGGGGGTGTGGGGGCTGCAGCGGGGCTCTAGGAGCTGCACCGAGGGATATGAGGGCTGCACTCGAGTTCTGAGGGCTCTGATAGGGCGTCTGGGGGCCGCACCAGGGGCCCAGCGCTGTATGGGGCTGGTCGGGGGGGAGGAGGACTCTGTGTGTGAAGGTGTAGCAGAGCCCCAGGGTGCAGAGGGGGGAGGGTATCACTCAGGGCACAGTGCTGGGGGCCGCCCCCCCACCCAGCACCACCACAGAGCCATCCCTTGCAGGAACAGCAGCGCAGAACCCCCCATTCCAGCACCTTCTGCAGCTGTCGGAAGCGTTCAGACACCCCGAGAAGCGACTGCCAGACAGGAACCCCCCAGGGTGAGGGGGAAACCATGCCGGGGGCTGAGTCCCCTTATCCACACCCCCCTGAGCTCCCACCGCCCACCAACTGCTGCATGAGCGGCTGCCACAACTGCGTCTGGATCGAGTACGTGGAGCAGCTGCTGCAGCACTATGGGGATGGTGGGGAGCGGGCACTGGCAGCCGTGGAGCAGCACGTGCAGGATGAGAGCATCAAAGCGGTCCTGAAGCTGGAGATCAGGCTGCGCATGGGGACAGACTGAGCCCACAAACTGGTGAGGAACTTCCTGCTGAGCTCCAGGAGTCTCCCCGGGACAAGAGGAATGGGACACGGTGTATTTGTGGGCTTTTGGACGTTGGTTTGTGAGATGGGGATTTAGTTGCGGTGTTTGTTTGCATCAGACTGGAGGGATTCACCAAGCACGTGCACCCCACGTGTGGCCCCAGCATTGACGATGCAGGAGTGGTGTCACCACTCGGTGCTTCTATCCCTGAGGCTGAAAATCCCTGCTAAGGGCAGGGTCCTTCCCACTGCTCCTGCCTCATCCTTGCAGCATAACAGCAGCCTGGTGACGGAGATGGGCTGTGGTGTCACACCGTCCTCCCCACGCTACACTAAGCCTCTTAGGGGCTTCTCTGTGACCGCTGTCTGGATGGGCCGGGGTTTTTTCCAGCCCTTTCCCGATGCTGTAGGATTTGCTGGGTGCAGGGGGGAGCGTGCAGCTGGAGCACGTGGGCTCTGCAATGTCCCATGAAGGGCAGCTCCTCACAGTGCTGCTTCTTCCTCATTCATCTCTGCCTTAAAACTCCTTAAACTTCACCTTGAGGCGTCACCTCGGCAAATCCTGCCCAGCAGAGCACATCCTTGGCCTGATGACATGCAGAAACTCACCCCATCCAGCCAGTGCACTGAGTGCCACCAGGAGTGGCTCCTGAGTGGCATTTGCTAATGAAGCTGAGTCTAGAAGCATTAATTAACAACAGGGCACTGGCCCTTGCTGTAAAGGAGTCCGGTTCTGCCAGCTTCATACAAAACACCTCTGGATCCATGTAATCCTATTTGCTGAAATCTAACTAATTGCCATTAGTGGAAGGGGCTGAAGTTCAATTAAAGTGTGCTGAGATTATACCTTTTTGTAATTGCTTTAGTGCTGGGATTACAGGAGGCTTTGGAGTGACACTCCCAAGCAGCAGGGCAGGTGGGCAGTGGGCCACTTCCACCACATTTTGGGCTGATGAAGCAGAGCCTGCAGCGCCCTCAGATTGTCTGTGCTCAGGTGTCCTCAGTGACACGTGACATGAGCTGGTGACCCTCATGTTTTGTGATCCTGATTGGAATGGAGACAGGGATGGTGTGGGCACTGTGCGTGGTGTCAGCGCCATTATGAAGCGCTGCCCTGAGCGCTCTGCTGGCTGTGGTCCCATCCCTGTCCCCGTGGTGCAGTGGCTCGAGGCATAGGGGTGTCCCTCGCAGGGAGGATGCAGGACATCCCCATGGGTGCTCTGCAGCTGTTCCTTGCTCCCTGCTCCAAGACTATGCTCTGTGGGGTGAGGCAGCAGTGCCAACACACAGCCCATCCCCGTGGTGTTAATCCTGACACCCCCTCCCCATGCACGCACATACTCCCACTCTCCTCCCCAAAGGCAATGGGGGAAGGACACTAGATTACCCATTTGAGAAGAAGGGACTTAATCCTATTATCCCCGAAGAGGATAAATCTGCCAGCCCCCAGCCGCCACCCAGAGCACTTGGAGGACGTGTGGAGCGGGTTGCAGGGAGTCATTTGGAGCAGCACTGGCCTTGGGGACGGTAAGTGATGGCTTTGCTATGTGTGAGACAGCACTCAGACCTGTAGGCACTGGGGCTGCAGTGCGTGGCATTGCCCAGCTGGAGCCACGCTCACCTCCAGCGCTTGCAGATGAGGCTCCATGCCGAGTGCTGCCAACCTGGCAGTGAGAGCTGCCTGTGCTACAAAGCCCCAGTGCTTGGCAGGTTGCAGGGTGCCCGCGGGAAGGATGGAGCCATGTGCTGCCCTGGGATTTCAGTATCAGCTGCAGCCCCTCCAGACCACAGAGCCCTGTGAGCCATCCCTGAGCATCATCCAGCTGCAAGCCAGCCCTGCGAGCAGCTTACAGCTCGCTCCTGGCACACAGCTGCACTGCCTTCAACTCACAGTGGCACCTGTGATGCCCATCTCCACAGTTATGTATTGTGGTGGGGGCACCCAGTGGTGCACATCCACCTGCAGTGGGGGGAAAGGGCTGCAGGCATTGCCCCAAGGAGTGCAGGGGTTCAGTATGCCCCCCTGGATGCCCCCCCTGGATGCCCTTTGCTGCCTTTGGGGTAAGGGGATTAGTGGGCTCTGAGCTGGCCTAATTCCAGGGAGGGGAGGGAAAGTGCCCACCCCCAGGGCAGCCCGGAAAGCGGATCAGCTCTGCAGGGCTCATGGCAGGGTAGGAACAAGGGCACCCGGATGGCACAGCGCATCTCTGCACTGGGATGGCTGCAGCCACTCCAAGGTTCACCTCAGCGCCCCATGTCCTCCCTGTGCCAGGTGTGAGGAACCACCCCGTGTCAGCGCCAGAGCCACAGGCACAGCTGTGACGCAGGGCAGGCTGCTAGCCCTGCTACAGCCATGAGCTTGGAGCCCCACAAACCGGAGCTCAAGTCAGCTACCAGGGTGACTGGCGGACCTGCCACCCCCCGGAAAGGACCACCTAAGTTCAAGCAGAGGCAGACACGGCAATTCAAGAGCAAGCCACCCAAAAAAGGAGTGCAGGGGTGAGTAGGGCTGAGCACCTGCGCCCAGTGTGGGACACACCTGAAGGCACCCACGTGATGCTGCTCAGGGCTGATGCATCGTGAGGACAGACACCTGGTTTCTTTGCAGGTTTGGCGATGACATCCCAGGCATGGAGGGGCTAGGAACAGGTATGTGGTCCCCATTCCTTTCTGCTGCCGCTGCAGGGCTTGCAGCAGGGCTGGGACTTGTGCTGATGTAGCCTCTGCTCTCCACAGATATCACCGTGATTTGCCCTTGGGAAGCCTTCAGCCACCTGGAGCTGCACGAGCTGGCCCAGTATGGTATCATCTAGGCTGGCTATCGTCACAACCACCTGTCCTATAGCAGTGCTTTTTTTAGAAACTGCCCCATCCACATAGTGGGGCATAGCTTGGAGAAACACTCATTAAAACCTGAAATAAACACGGGAGTCTGGTGTGATGGTCTGGGGCCAGAAAGCTTCTACCTGTGCTGTGAGGGTGGGCAACCACACAGGAGAGGATAGGATGGAGAGGAGATAGACCAGACCCAGGCAGGGTTCAGAGATTTATTATGGGATGCACAGGTACAACAAAGGATGGGAAGGAGAGCGCAGGGAGCTCAGCATCCTCTCCAGCCCCACAGCACACCCTCAGCCCTGTGTCCCACCAGGTGCAATGTCTGCCAGCACTTTCAGTGCCAGGAGCAGCCCGGTGGCCTCCAGCAACACCAGCACAGCAGCACCGGTGGCAATGCCTCCAGCCTGTGCACGCAGCCAGGCACCCAGCTGAACCACACAGCCCCCCAGGTGCACCACACCAGCAGCTGCCATGTCCCCCAGGTGCAGCACCCCAAAGGCACATTGGTCGTTAGTGATGGAGCCGTTCTGCCATGGATCCAGGCAGCAGGAGGCTGGGACACTGCACGCCTGCACACCGGGTGAGCTGCAGTTGAAATACCTGCAGGACATACAAGGAGAAGTGCTGGGTGCCTGCTGCTTTCTTGCTAGCCCAATCCATGCCCCCACCTGCCCCCAGCTTCACTCACGGGTTGCTCTCCCAGTCACGGTAGGAGCTGAGCCCGCAGCACTGCAGGCTGTGCTGCACCTCGTCCACCAGGAAGCGCAGGTCGGGCTCCTCCTGGTAGCGCAGCAGGCAGAGCAGCAGGGCATCCTGCAGCGCGTCCCGCAGCCGCTGCCGAGCCACCAGCAGCAGCAGTCCTCCCAGCACCTCCAGCCCCACAAAGGCCAACACGGCCCCCACGAAGAAGCGCAGCAGGCAGACGCTGGAGCGGAGGGCACCCAGGCAACCAGCCAGGGACACGGTGCTGGCCCCCAGCCCTGCCAGCACGAAAAGCAGCATGGGGTCAGAGCCCAGTGGGGCCAAGCGCTCGCCCTGCAGCCAGCCCTTGTCCAGCAGCCCCCAGACCCCTATGCCCAGGGTCAGCAGGCCCAGCAGGAGGAAGAGGAGGTTCCAGAGGAAGGCTAAGTGCCGCGCACAGTGGCTGAAGGCACTTGGCTTGCAGAGGGTGCTACACCACTCCTCTGGGTCATGCTTGGCCACAGGATCATCCGCATCCCCCAGCAGCAAGATGTCATCATCATCATCAGAGGATTGGGGCAGCTCCACCAGCTGGGACGTCTGCATGGGGCAGAAGAACCACTTGGCAGCTGCAAGGCCCACAGACCCCCAGGACACACCCACAGTGGTACCCAGCCCTCATACCCCCCACGTACCCTACCTAAGGGGGCTGTGGGCTCCTAAAGCCACCATACATCCCACTGTGGCACAAGGAATCAAGCGGGCATGGGGCATTTCTGGGGTCCACGAAGATGGAAGACCACAGGGGTGAGCTTCTCTGGAACACCTCTACCCCTAACAGGAACTCCTATTTATCCCTATAGGGAACCCCAAGGACGGGGTGTGGGGTCACCTCCTTTCCTCACTGGGGGTCTGTGAGCTGAGGGATGTGCTTTCCCAGGGCTCTGTCCTTAACCAGGATCCCTATGGGGACCCCCCACCCATAACAGGAATTCCAATTTACGCCTGTGAGATCCCCCTCAGGGCCATGACATGGGGTCGTCCCACAGTCCCCCCCCTACAGCAGGCTAGGTCCCACCCAGCAGCACAGGGGCCCTTATGCATTACCTGGGGTAGCAGCCGGCTGCTCTCCCCGCTGCCCACCTCCCCATAGGGCCTAAAGAACTGGGACAGCTGCTCCCTGCCCAGCACCATGCTGCTTCTCAGAGCTGCTGCAGTCATGCTCCCATCATGTGAGAGGCTGCGGCCGGGGCTTAAATAGGGCTGTGACTGCCGGCCTCACAGCTGGGCCCACTTGGGTTCCCCCTGCAGCCCCCCAGGCTGGCACCATAAATGGGCAGGAAATGAGGGTCTGGTGGGGATGAAGTATTTGTGGTCTCAGAGCAGTTCTGGGGAGGGGGGGAAAGAATGGGTTCAGAACCACAGCCTTCTCAGAGAGATCTGCCCTCCAGCCTCTCGGTGGGGATGTAGGGATATCGAGAGACCGCGCACTAAGGTGGTGGTGTGCGGCGGCGGAACGAAAAGACAGGGGCGCGCCGCTCGGGGGGCGGTTACGTGTGTGGCACCGAGGCGCAACGGGGGACCGGAGAGCAGCGTACCGCCCCGCCCAGCGTAGGAACCCTCTGGCGGCGGAACGCCGGGCTGCGGGATCCGGGAGGCGGCGGCGGCGGTGGCGGCGGCTCAGGCGGCGGCGGGCCGGGCCCTGTGGGGCGGCGCCGGGCCGGAGGGGGCCGAGAGGAGCGAAGGCCTCGAGGCGTAGCTGCGAGGGGGCCGTGCGGACGGCGCCATGGCGGAGACGATCGTAAGCGCGGCCCGGAGGAGGCGGTGTGGGGCGGGGGAGGGGCGATGAGGCAGCAGATTCCTGTGGGGCGGGGTAGGCCGCGGTGGGGCTGTGCTGCTCGGGGTAACGCGGGGCCCAGGCCGGGCCGCCCGCAGGGGCACGAGAGGAGGGCGGGCGTCCAGAGCGCCGTGCGGTGCTCCGTTCTGCTTCCTGCCCCTGTGAGCGGAGGGTAGAAGAGACCCGCCGGGGATGTTGGCAGCTTCCCGTGTCGCCCCGGTCTGCCTTTCCCTCCTGTCAGTGTCCCAACGTGGCTCTTCTCCGCACGTCGGTGCTCGTTTGCCCGCTCCTCGGGAAGGCGGGGGCACCCGGGGTCATATCTGCTCCTTCCCGAGCTCTCCTTTTGCTGCTGGTTTTTTCCTTCCTCCGACTTAAGGCTGCAGCAGAACTGGTGTTGTTTCAGTGCTGGGGCTCTCCATCCCTCTGAGCAGGGATGTGGGTCCCGGTGCTGTGCAGGTGTCCATTAGCGCTGCTTAGAGCCGTGTTTGCGTGCATGCTGTCCCACAGAAGCTCTGATTCAGTTGAATTCCACACGTGAGGTCAGAGCTGGGACAAAAAAGCAGCGTTTGCGTTTTTTTGTTTTTTTTTTTTTTCCCATGCCAACTTTTGCAGGGTTTCCAACACGGGGGTCATTCATCCTGCAAACGTTGCTCACGTGCTACCAAGTCGCTCCTGCTTGCATCTGCACTCTTGCATTAAAAGTAGAGGTGGGGGGGAATGTGTTGTGTGTGCAGGGACAGCTCTGTGCTGCCCACGTAACTCAGGCTGTCTGTCCTCTTCTGCCCCAGATAATCCGTGTGCAGTCGCCAGAAGGGGTGAAACGCATCACAGCCACCAAGAGAGAGACAGTAGCCACGTTCCTCAAGAAGGTACTGCAGCTCTCCTCCTTTGCAGGGCTGCCAGTGATGTTCTGTAATGGGTGGCATTACTTAACCTAAGTGGGAAAACGTGCTGTGGGGATCAGTTCCAGAGGGATAAAGAATCAATTTAGGGAAGAAAACTTATTCAGTTTCTCAATTGGAATTTTTTGGGGTGGGAGCTTTCTTGGGAGAGGTTGTGTGTGTAGTGTTCTCCCAGGGAAATGTCAGCTGTGGAAGCAAAGGCTGACGACACAGGCACTCCAGCTGTTTGACAGATTGGTCTCTTCAAACATGATCCAGTTAAAATTCAGCTTCATGATCTGTGATTTGAATGTCATTTGGATGAGTTTTGCATGCCACTGGTTTTCCTTTATAGTTATGGAGAGAGCAAGCAAATGATTAAGGCAAGATCATAAAGCAGTGTGAGAGTCTCTGGGGGTCTTATGGGAAAGATTTCCCCCCTGAGGTTTGAGGAACGCACTGAGTTTTGGAGTTCTCAGATGTGGAGCTGACTGCAGTTTGTTCTTTGGTCTGGTGCAGCTGCTTGGTGTTTGCTGTTTAAAAGGGAGCAGTTCTCCATTTCCTTACCTCCTGGATTAGGATTTCTTTTCTTCACAAGAGAAGTGCTTTGTGTTCCTTAAAGGGCTATTCTTTTGGTCAGCTAGATTTCCTTTCTCCCTGCAAGGGAGAAGGGGAGCAGGCTGAAATGTTCAGCTGTTTGTGAGTCTGAGCTTTGTTTGAAGCTTGGGCCCAACCACGACAACAATCCCCTCCTGACTAAGCCAAAATCCAGATGGGTTTCAGGGCTGGGTCAGAGATACCCCCTGCAGCCTCTGAACAGTCTCACCCATGGCAAAAGCATTGCTTTCAGAGCTCCTGGAACCTGTGCAAAGCAAGCTGCTCAGTTTCAAGGGTTTGTATTACCAAAGAGAGTGCAGAACAATTGTGCTTGCCAGCAGCTAATGTCGAAACAAAAGCATTGGCCCTCGCTAAAATTGCCTGTTGATCTGGGGAGAACTATATCCTCCTGCAGAGCTGAATGAAAGAGGCGCTTGAGTTTCTTTCCTAGTGCAGGGTGGTTTGGTGGAGTTGTACTGTGTGCTGTTGCTGTCTCTGAGCTCTACCAAAGCTGCAGAGATGAGCATTTGACTTAAGAATTTAGGAAGAAGCTTGTCATCTAGAGAAACTTTCAACTCCATTTCTAAACTGGTTAAGTTTTAACATAGCAGAATTTGAAAGTTGGAGAGGCTATAAATGATATTTGATAGAGAGTAAAGCAGCTTCAGCTGTGCTGCTGAGAGGATTAGGTGGAAAAAAGCCTTCCTGGGGACTGAGACTGTGGAATGGTTATTGTGAGGGTAAGTTCTGTCAGGAGACAAGATGCAAATGGTGGTGGTGGGGGGAGAGAAACAGGCATGAGGACAGCAGGAATAGCCTCTCTGAAATGTATATAATAACAGGTAGGCATCTTCTGAGGGCAGAAGAGCCACAGAGACAAAGATCTGGACCAAGGAACTCTGGTGATAGCAAGATGAGAATGACATGATTGGTGTGTGCTGCAGGGCTGGAGTGTGGGGTTCTAGACCCCACACAGAGGATAGTTTCTCCCCTCGTAGTCATTACAGTGCTTGCCTGGGTTTAGATATTATACTGTTTGTGTTACACGAGTGAGGCATGTTCTGTTTAAGTTGCTTTTTTACTTAATTGCTTGTGTTACTAAGTGTTTCTATTTTTCTCAGTTATCCTGTGCTCTTCAGAAATGAGGATGAATTCAGCTAAGCTTTTGCAATAGAAGTTCCCTGGACTTAGCACTTGCTCTGAGCAACTTTCAGCATCTGACCTGGGGTGTGAGGTATCTTAAACTTTGTCATCCTTTCTCTTTCAGGTTGCAAAAGAATTTGGTTTCAGGAATAATGGGTTTTCTGTCTACACCAATAGAAACAGGACAGGAGAGATCACAGCATCACAAAACAAATCCCTCAACTTACTGAAAATCAAGTGAGTCCTGACAGAGAGTGCTGTGGGTGGAGGGGAGCTTTGTACAACAGGGTGCCTTTTCTCTAAGCTTGTCTGAACTCTCCCCTCCGAGCTGAGCAGCAGCAGCCACAATCACAGTACAGCAGTCTCCAGCTTTCAGCTGTCACTCGCCAGCTGCCTGAAGAGACAGTCTTGACTGACATGCAGAAACAGTGGTGGTCAAAACAACTAGGTGTTAGGCTGTGGCAGCTGCTTCTTTGGTCTCTTTTTGCATTGCAATTTGCTTCTGTGGGTCAGCAACAGGCCTTGTTTGCTCCCTCATCCCTGCTTGCACTCAAACTGTACTTTTGCTTTTTTTTCCCCCTGTTTTAATGCCAGGGTCTGATAATTCCCTACACAGAAGCCAGAAGCCGGGTGCCTAGGGAGATCAGAAATGCCAAATGGTTGATTCACTTTGTGTTTTGTTGGAATGTCTTCACTCTGTTAACATCAAGAATAACATTAAACTGACTTAAAATACTAGAGCTGCTGCCACTGTGTGCAGCTTGTTACTTGATTATATCAGCACTGGGAGCTGCCTTGGGAGGGCTGCGCCTTGGTGTGCACAGGAGCCACGTAAATCCCTTTCTCTGGTGGAGCTGTTGCCTCTTTCTGCTTTCTCTTCCTTTTCCCTTGATCTTGTCTCCTGATAAAAAGATGCAAGAGAAGAAGGTAGCTAATGCTCTTAGTAGAGCTGTGTTTGTTAGTCTGTCTGTAGCCTGTGATAAATCGCACGCTCCTCTGTGATCCAGGAAGTTTGCTACCCAGAAGTACGCGCTGAAGGAGCATGGACACTGATGTGGTTTGTAACGAGCAGCAGATCTAGCACAGGCGTTTCCTGCGCTCTGCAGCACGAAGGAGCCAATTCCTTCAAGTGGTTAGGGTGAAGGTCTGGTGTAGTTCAGTTGCTGGTGGAAGGGGGTGGAGTCTGAGTCTTTCCAGCTGTCTGAGTGCAGCGTGGCTTATCACCTGCGCTCCCACCCCGCTGTATCTGGAAGCAAAGCTTGTACAGTGCTGATGCCCGTGTATTTTTTCCACCCCTACAGGCATGGTGATATGCTGTTTCTGTACCCCTCGAGCCCAGCAGGCTCATCCTCAGAGACAATGGACACCTCTGTCTCCCAGAGCTTGCGGCCGGTGGGGGCACCGCAGGTGGTGGAAGATGACATCGACCAGTATCTGATCAAACAGGATGGGAAGATTTATCGAAATCGAGACCAGCAGCTGTAAGTACTGACAGGCTGTTTGCTGTCAGTGCATCTGTGCCTCACCAGACTGTCACATCTTGCCTGAAAACAAGAGCCAGGAAATGTGCTATGGGAACTGCTGTCTGAGCCACTGCTTTATCCTCGCTGCCTTTGAAATATTCACAAGGGAAAACAGCCCTTGCCATTGTCTTGCAAGGTTAAAGTAAGGCTCTGGTGAGCTGAGGAAGGAAGCAGATACCAAAATTCCAGGGGCTTAGCCAGGAAGGACTTGTTTAGAGCATATATTGTTTTGATCAAGGTGGCCCCTGTTAGGAGACTGGCAATCATATATTTTGTGCTCTGAAAACAGCAGCTTCTGTTCCATATGGTGTCAGTATGCAGCTCCTGTTATCTGGGTCCTGAGGTGACAGGTGTGCAGAGCCAGGTCTGCATCTTGTGTGAGAGGTGTGAACAAGGAAATGCTTTCAGCCAGACCTTCAGCCTCAGTGTGGCTCAGCCAGCAGCAATGGAAAGCACAGCATTGGGGTTTGGTGTGTTTGGTAAAACGCAGACAGCTCCTCTGGGCTCTCTAGAACCCTCACCTTTCCTACTGCCCTGCAGGGGCAGCTGACACAGCTCCACATGTCTTTGGTTGCAGTGCTGGGGTGTGTCTGGCACATGGCCAGGGATGTCCCAGGCAGAAGCCCTTCTGTGTCTTCAGATCCCACCACTCCTTATAAAGGAAAAATAAAATGGAGGGAATGAGTGGAGGCCACGTCCAATGGCAGAGATGTGGAATTTGGACTTGGGTCTCTGCCTCTGCTTGGTTTTTGGCTTCCTTTCCATCACATGCCTTTCTTAACCTTCCTGTGAAACCGTTGAGTCCATTTTGCTAACAGGAATGCAGCAAGGTTTAACTTTGCCAAAACTCTTAGCTGCAAGAGGCTTAGATAAACAAAGCAGCTTGTATTTTTGTAAGGGTAATAATACAATGGTGACTTAATACCACCATAAATCTCCACTGATGCTGCTGAAATGTCCTCTGTCTGGATGGTTGTTTTTTGTGACTCATTGTTAACAGTGTTCCAGTTGGCTCCTGCCTGGTGGTTGGTTTGGGGCTAGGCCCCTCCACAAAGTAGCTTCTGAAAGGACTCGAGTGAAAATGTTAAAGGCAACCAGGAATTCTTTCTAAGACAGAATAGCTCATCCTTCCCTTTTGTATTGTCTTCCATATGGTTTATCTTCAGTGCTGCAGCAGCAAGGAAGTTTGGAGAGATGAAGCATTAAGGTAGAAAATCCTATCTAACCTTCTCAGGCTGATGATAAATGAGGCAAGTGTCACATTATTGAAACAATAAAGGCAAAACCCACCACTCCATAGCAAAAACATTGTCTTTAACTTGACCACGTTTTTCAAAAGAATAAATGAAGGTATTGTTCTTAGCAGGGAGCCAAAGCACAGTGGCGGATATTTATGATAAAATGTGTGTGTCTGGGCTTGTTCCTGTATTTGTGAGTGCATATCAATCTAAACATGAGGGGATGCTGGTGTTTGGCTGAGTGCATTAGCAGCCTTTAGTGGTCCTTTATGTACATTATCTGCCACAATACTTTGTTAAAAGCACTGCTGCAACTGGATCCCATCCATTTCGTTTTTAGAAGAGCCAACATCCATGCTGCTCTCTAGAGGATCTCTTTGCAAAGCTAGCACTGACCTGTTCGTAGTGCTGGGGCAGAGATGCACGGGGATTCTTTTGTATTTTCTTTTTAATCAGTCTCCTCAAAAGGAGATGTTTTCCCCTCTGCTTTGTAACTTCACCCAACAGGTCCTTATCGGCCTGATAAACACATGCTTCCCTGCTTGTTCCAGACCATCCTCTAGTGACTGATAAAGGGTGAATGTTTTGGTTGTCTTTCTGTTAAAACCACACAGGCCAGCCCTGTGACGTACATTTGAAATTCTTTGAATTGAAATACAACCTCCAGGTGGAGTTGTAAAACTTGAGAAGCTGCAATCTGACGTTGGCTCACGTGGCTGTCCAGAGCAGAATTGCTTGCCAGTGACACAGGCATGAGAAGAGTTTGATCTTGACCCAAGACTCTCACATTTAAACTCACACTACTGCTGTCTGTCATATGCCATAATAAGTGCAGAGTTGCTCAGGGTAAGATGATTGTCCAGGGCTTCTACACTAAAACTGTTAAGCTGTAACAGTTACTCTAGACTAACTTCTCTGTTATTGAATGAGACTTATGCTAATTCTGTTTCTCTTTGCATAGGTGTCGCCACGGCCCCTTGGGTAAATGTGTGCATTGTGTACCATTAGAGGTAAGAGCCCCAGGAAAGTCTTACAGAAAATCACCATGGGAAGGCACATCACCTGAAGCTCTTGGATTCAGTTTCTCCCAGTAGGAATGCTTCTCCTCGTAGCGTGTCCCACATAGAGATGGCAGCTCTGAGTCAGAATCCTGCCATGCACTTTCAGAGGTGCCAGCTTGTGTCCAGGCTAGTTAAAGCTCTGGGCCTTCGTGACCCTGGATTTCTTCTGTTTTTCTGCAGTAATGGTTTAAGCAGAAGGTACTTTGAGAGCTCTAATTTTCCTCCCTCTCCACTGTTGCCTGGGTCTTCCTGTTTCATCCCCCTTTCTTCATGCATCACAGCACTTGCCAGTTTAACCACCTATTATTCAGGTTGAAGGCAGCTTTAGTAACACCTACAAATGTGCTAAGCTGTGTAATTTAGGGCGTGCAGCAGTGATCTGTGAGAAGTCTGTGTGAGCCACAATGGCTGTTCCTCACATCCCTGCCACGTGCTTCAGAAGTTCCTTGGCCTTGTTTGAGCAGCTGGGCTTTTTGTTTGTTGTTACACACTGAAAGAAAAAAGCATTTTGCCTTTGAGACTCGCTCTGATTTGTGGAGCCAATCTGTTATGAAAAGTAGGAGGTGTTAATAAAACTCACTGTTGTAAGGTCCCACTGTTTCTGTCACAGTAGTAGCTGTCTTGAAAAGGAGCCTAAATTTTCTTGATTGTTTCCACATTGAGAGACAGTGGGATTGAATCTAGAACATCCATTTGTTCAGTGATCAGTGTACCATCAGGCAGGTGTCTGACCTGGCTTTTCTTTGTGTGATGTTTTTGGCAGCCTTTTGATGAGGATTATTTAAACCATCTGGAACCTCCTGTGAAGCATATGTCGTTCCATGCCTACATCAGGAAGCTGACCGGAGGGGCAGACAAGTAAGAAAATCTCAATGTTTAAGGGAATCTAGCTGTACTTTTTTTTATCTTAAATAAAAACAAAAAAAAACCAAAAAAACCAAAAAACAACAAAAGCACATTTGCACAGCTCTCACTGGAGTAATGTTGGATGCAGCTTTTGGATGTCAAGCCGAGGAGAAAACATGTTTAAAAGTAAAGAAAAAGCTTTTGGTTATGGATTTCTTTCTTTTTTTTATGTGTGTGTGTGGCAAACTAATTGCTTCCAGGAACACTGCTGATGGGGGGAGAAGGCCAGATGGATGGAAGGAGGTTCCCTGCTTACACCAAGTTCCAAGCCTGGGTCTCAGCTTTGTGGAGAGGCACTGAGCCTGTGGTGGATCTGAGGAGCGTTTATTTACCAACTGTTTTCTGATCTTCCTATGTGAATAGAGCAACAGAGGGGCCTACCATTTCTCAGGGCCTGATTCTGTACTGTCCCACTTGCCATGTGCTCTCAGAAACAGTTTCTTTTTGTGGCCACTGATTGTCACACGTTAATGGGAGAAGAAGGCATCCCTGCTTTATGGTGGAGCTGAGGATGCTGTGGTGACAGGACAAATAAGGACTGAACTGAGAGCTCAGCTCCTTTCAATAAGTTATGCAGAGGTGTAATCTCCTCCCTCCTATTCCTAAATGCAGTTGGGAGTTTTTTAATGTCTTTTGAGATGTAGCTCAAGTCTGTAATACTTTGATTTGAAGGGAACTTCCCCTTGCAGGAAGCTTTGTGCACATGAAAGGAACTCTGATTTGCCTTCACAATATAATCTATTACTTCCTATGTGCTGCATAAATTATTTAAGCTGTGTCCCATGTGTTTTCTCTGTGCTCTCATTAGAATACCTGATTAGAGGCTGGGGTGGACAAACTCAACAGAGTTTGTGTGGCACTTGGAGGTCCTCTGAAGATGCAAAGCATTGGTGACACCATATCTCCTCCCTGTTTCCTCAGTGATGTTTCTGGCTACTTGCTTTTTTGAGACCCAGAAGCATTTACCATGTTAACAGCAGCCTTGTCTTTTTCTTCTTGCAGGGGGAAATTTGTTGCCCTGGAAAACATCAGCTGCAAGATCAAGTCAGGCTGTGAAGGGCACCCTCCTTGGCCAGAAGGCATTTGCACAAAGTGTCAGCCAAGTGCCATCACTCTCAACAGACAGGTGAGCCAGTGCTTACAGGGGCCATTGAGCTTCAAGCCAAAAAGAGTTGATTTTTATTTTTGGAGAGATGATGTCAAGAACAGCCAGCTTGGAGCAGGATGCCTTTGTGTATTGGCAGTTGTTGAGGAAATGGCTGTTAAGGTCTTCAGTCCTTGCAGGAAGGACTCCAGAATGTATCTGCTTCAGCAGTTTTGTCTTAATATGAGACGTCTGAGCTGGCACCACTAGCAGTGAATCTTCACTTCTTTATTCTTTCATGGGATCTAAAAGCCTTCCCACTGTTTCTCATTGATTCCTCTTAAGTTTCACTGTCTCTTCTAGTTGCAAAAGCTGATGGGATAAGGGCCCTAGTAAAGAAGCCAAGCTAAGGGGATTCTGGGGATGCTCAGCACTTCCCCACAGCCCAGCCCGTGGTGAGTTCTGCTTGCTGGGCCAAGGAGTGGTGATGAAAGCTGAAGCAGAGGGGAGGGAGGCAGCATTCCCTGTTCCTGTGGTGCCATGGTTCACCTGTAGGGGGCTGCGTGCATCCTGGGCAGCTGGGGAAAGTGTTGGCAGTAGGCGAAGGAGCTGGACCCAGTGGAGGATGGCCTGACGCTTGAACTTTGTCAAACAGAAATACAGGCATGTTGACAACATCATGTTTGAGAACCACACAATTGCAGATCGCTTCCTAGACTTCTGGCGGAAGACAGGAAACCAGCATCTTGGGTATTTGTATGGCCGGTACACGGAGCACAAAGACATCCCTCTGGGGATCAGGGCGGAGGTGGCTGCCATCTATGAACCCCCACAGGTAATACAAGCTGTGTACCCAGGCGTCACTGTTGACTCATGATCGGGGAACAAAGAAACACTTCTCTGTTTGGGTAATCTCGTGCAGGGTTTCCCAGTGCAACTCTATTAGGAAAACAGTCCCATGAGAATGACTTTTTATGGCCCTCTGGTTGCTAATGTTGTCACTAGTTATTGCCACTAAAAGAATTTTAAAACCGAGGCTAGCTTTTTATTATTCTTCTTTTACATTCCTCTGTTCTCTGATTACCATTTCCAAGGTTATGGTACAGAACAGTTGAAAACAAATTCTATGCTAACTTAAAAAAATGTTAGCCTTCGCTTTAATTTCTTACCAGCTCTCCGGGAAAACTTAAAGCAGCTTAATTAGACAGAAATCACATCTGCTGCTTTGATGGGTAACATTGGTACGTCCGAGTGGGAGCAGCTGAGTCACCACTAGATGGTGCACGGCACCACCGTGTGTTTCCACAGCCCCAGCAGGTCCTGGAGTCCGGCCTCAGCCAGCCCGAAAGCTGAGCTCCGGGTTACGGAGCTGCAGATAGAGCCTTTTGTAAGCTCTTCTGTTTGTTTCAGATATCAGCACAGCCATGCCCTCTGTTTCGGTCTGGCTGTTAAATTCTCACTTTGGAAGCTCACATGGTTTACTTGTGCATGGCAAAAGCAAGGAAGCTTTTACTTTGTTGGCAAGCAGTCTCTGCTGTGCTTCTTGGCAGAGCATCTCCCTACATGAGAAAGCTCGCCTCTGAAACGCACCCATATGGAGTTGTGTTTTCCAGGCCTGGGTGGTGGCCCCTGCATTCCTTGAACTTCTGCCTCTGCACTGCTCAGAGACTCCAACAAATGAAACAGAAGGGCAGGACTGGCAGGTTGAACTGAGCTTTGGAAAATTATATAATCTCTCCTTTTCCAAAGCTCTCAGAAGCAGCGATAGCCTGTTTGTAAGTGCTGAGCAAGAGTCTTTCATTCATAAACCCCCGCGTGGTTTGCAGGCCTAACTGGAGAGCTCCTGCAGGATGAGGCTGTGAGTAACAGAGGTCTCTGGAGTGAGAGCAGTCAGGGCTAATGCTGAGGAGAAAATGCAGAACTGCTCTTCCATCCTCTGCCTTGTTCGTGGTGATGGTTAAGTGTGCTGTGGTTTTTCCTGTACTGTTTTACTAGCAAGATTTCCTTTATGCAGATTGGTACACAGAACAGCCTGGAGATCCTGGAAGATCCAAAAGCAGAAGTTGTGGATGAGATTGCTGCCAAGCTTGGACTGAGAAAGGTTAGGATGATGCTGGATATCATGCATCTTTTGCATGGCAATGAAGAAAGTCACCAGCAGTTCTCTTCTGTTCTGTGGGGCTATTGAAGACCATTTGGGTTCATTTGAAATCTTGCTTAAGTGTTGGTAGCTCTTACTCTAAGTATATTAAAAAAAAAAAAAGAAGCAACCACGAATGTTTTTGTGAGGACGAGCATGCAGCAGGGCTGTTCAGCTGCAGTCAGCAATCCTCTGTCATGAATGACATCAAAGGGAGTAGCAAAGAAGAAAAAACACAATTTTCCCTTTATTTCTCCTCTGACAGGAGCCATTCCTGGTAGCATCTCCCCTGCAAGTGCTAATTTGGCACAGATGTAGCTGGAGTTGCCTTCTGAGTTTATTCTTCCTTCTGGCAGAATCTACGTTCCGCTTCCAGGAGCGGAGGCTCCTGCTGGATTTTTATTCTCATCAGCAGGTCCTGCCTCTCAGTGCTGCTCAGACAGGCTGTGGTGAGCTAATCTGAATGTTGGCTGGAGGTTTGGGTCCCCCAGCAGCTGAGCCTCAGTCCTCTGTTCCTCTTGTGCCTGTGGTCTGCCAGTAATCCAATCAGGACATACAGGCACTGGGATCTGCTGGCTTGCTGACATCTCTCACACCTGTACCAATAGATTTTTCTGTTTTGGGAAATAATTTGGTGTCATGTGAATGCTAGGAATGAGACGTACACAAACAAGAATTGACTTGCTAAAGAACATGCAAATCAGAAAAGGCTCAGTGCAGCAGACTATAAACATCTGTGGTGAGGTCTTTTGTTCTCTGAAGATAAGATCTTTAGTGTTTTCCAGTGTCTGAACCAAAGCTTCTGTATGTGTTGTTTATTTCCATATTTTAACTTTGCTTCTCACACCAGATATTTTTAATCAGTGTGATTTAACATGCAGCTTACTGCTCGGTGCAGGTTTTTGTCTTTCTGGGCTCTGCTGGGAATCTGCAGCAGTGACCCTTGCCCTGAAGGGTTAATGCTTTGGGAGTTGGTCACGAGGGGCTGATCAGAGCTGTTTTTAGCACACGTGTAGAAGGGTTCATGCAGCGGTGTGTGTGTACACATCTATACTCATATGTGCAAACAATGCAAAAAGCAGGAATGTATTTTTTGGAACGGAGCAGGCTGATTTGGAATGAGTCACACTCCAGTGGGAGCATACAAGCTTTATCTTAACTGGGGACTGCAGGCTTCAAAATGAGATCATGTGAGCTGCTTTGTCATCTGCTGGCACTTCTGCTGCTGCTTTGCTCTGAATGCTCAATAGGAAATGCTTTTTGCTGTGGGTGGGAGGAGGTAGCGGCTGAGAAGCCTCTTGCAGCCTCCAGATCTTTCCATGAAAAAATATTCCATAGTGAAACATAAAGCTGCAGGTGCCCCCGGCTGGCCAGCTGGCACGCTGCTCCTGGAAATCGTATTCAAATGAGCCCAGCACAGCTGGGAGAGCCATTTCCTTCAGGCAGCATGCAGCAAGGCTGCACCAGGAGCCAAGAACATCTTGTCCTGCTAGGAGAGAATGTATAAGCTCTCTTCTGTGGGTTTGGGTTTCCTTTTTTTTTTTTTTTTTTTCCCCTCTTAAAGCAATTTTCTCCATAACACTGCTTTATAGGTTGGCTGGATATTTACTGATCTGGTCTCTGAAGACACACGGAAAGGGACTGTTCGGTACAGCAGGAACAAGGTGAGACTCGAGTGTCACTCATCACCACCACTGGAATTGAGGGCTTGTGTCATCACCTGACTGCTGGCTCTGCCAAAAAGAGAAGGAGGGCAGCACAGGGCTGAGGGGTGACACTGAGACTGAAATTCTTGTGATGTGTCAGTTTCAGCTGCTGAAGAAAAAGGAGCTTGAGCTCAAAGAAGAGCCCTGTTAGAGGGGTTGGAGCACTGTTGGAGAGGTTGGAGCTGTTTAGATAGAAGGCAGAGCTGCAGTCCTTCACCTGTTCTGCTTTAAGAAAATTATGTTTGTGGTTTAAGAAAAACTGAGTGGAGAGAGTTTTTGTGCCATGCAAGTTCAGCGGGCAAAAGTGATTGACTTAGAGGATGTGGGCAGGGCTTGGTGAGGCATGGGGCTTGAGTACTCAAACTCTGACCTTCTCAGTTACCTATAATTCTAAAATCAGGGATATCCCTTTAGAAAATGAAATACCATAATAAAGTGAGCCTGGAAAGGTGGGTGGAACCAAAAGTGGGACGGTCGTTCTGGCAAAAATCAGGCTTGTGACTGGAGAGCTGATAAGTCACATTCTTCTCTCAGTCTCTGCAGCTTCTACGAAAGCTTGTTTTACCAGGGTGTTGGTAGTTTTCCTTGGCTACAGACCAGGGAAATAGGTCTAGGCTGCATCGTGTTGGCCTTTTTGTTGACGTTTCTGCTTTTCTCTCAGGACACCTATTATCTAAGTGCAGAAGAGTGCATCACAGCTGGAAACTTTCAGAACCAGCACCCCAACATCTGTCGCCTTTCTCCAGATGGTCATTTCGGATCCAAGTTTGTCACAGTTGTGGCTACAGGTATAAATGGGCCTCAGCTTGCCCCAGCTCTCTTGATTACACACAAATTATCTTTTGTTAATAGAAGAAGAATACGCAGCTCTGCCAGAGGAATTCAGATGTCTTGGTCCCCATCTGTCCTGTTTAACAAGGGCTTTGCCTTGTTCCATCAAGTAAAATACATTTTTGTTCTTTCTTTGTGTTATCTTCTTTTCAGCTATTTACCCTGTCCCCTGCAGGAATCTCAGTTGAAGCTCATACTTGGAGCACCCACCTCTCTGATCCAGAAAGCATTTTTTGCCTGCAGCTAAAGGAATATCTGTCAATTGCATTTTTTTGTTTTGAACGTTTAATCTCAGAGTCCTCTTGCCTGAAAGCGACAGTGCAGAACCACAGCAATCCAGATCCTGGAAGTTATTTTAGGTGATTCAGCAGAAAGGAGGGATCTTTATCTCCCTTATGCTGCTGACAGGGAAACCCTTATGTAGGATTCCCTGCTCTTCTGTGCATGGAAATGTTTTTTGTTTGCCCCAGTAAAACAGAAGACTGCACGATGCTTTGCTTTGTCACCTCTGAATTTAACCACTTTCACAGCAAGTTTCCAAAGGCACTGGGCTGCAGGGCAATGCTGGCATGTGCTGGGAGAGTTGTAACATTAGAATTTCAATCTGCTCTTCTTTGTGGGATGACACACATGTATTCATTTAACATTTCCCCGGAGCAGATACACTGGGTTCTGGGTCTGTTTAGCACGGTGAAAAAAAAAAAAAAAAACCATGACTTCCAAACAGCATCCAATATGAAAAGTCAAAATGTGATATTATATTGCCTCTTCTGAGCTCAATTTAAGTGTTTTTGGAGCCTCTTTTAGTGAGAATGCTCTCGCAGTTAACAGACCCATCCAATCAGACAGCTGCCCTGCATTCCAGGCTGCTGAACACATCAATCTTCCATTAAAGATAAATGTGTATCTCACTCTTTTATTGTATTTATTTTTTCTTTTTTTAAACAAACTGTTTTCTTGAGAAAATGATGGCTGGCTTTATTCAGGCCTTCCTCATGTCTTGGTCTAAGTTTAACTTCTAGGAGTGTTTGTTCTGGAGCAGTGAGTGATTCAGGTTAGAGATCAAAGAGAAGAGAAGGAATATTTCCTCTTTTCTGTTCCAGATAATTTCATTCTCTTCTGTTCTATCAGCCCATCAGGTTTCTATTTAAACACCCAATTCCTTCCTTTTGTGCACTGTAAGTATAATTGGATAGTTTACATCAACTTTGCCTTTAAGTTCTCTATGTGGGTTAATTCTTCTCCCCTCCTGAATTCCTAGGTTTGGAAATTGTAATGCTTTCCTACCATCTGCCTGTATTTTCTCTTTCCAGTTGTGCTCTAATGACATATGACCTGATGTTGCTTACATTATCCAAATTAAAGCACCAAACATGTGATGCTTTGGTGAGCCAGAGTCTTAATTTCTCCTTTCCATGTCAGATTTCCACCAAGCCATCCATAATAGGCTGAGAAAACAATTTTTTCTTCTTATGCCTGACATTACCTGGTGGCAAGCCCTGAATCTGCAGGTCATGGTACATTGGAGGTAAAGCAGGCTTGCAGGAGTCGTGCGCAGATGAGAGCAAATACCTGCAGGTTGCTGAGTTTCGACTTTGTCCAAAAGGACAGCTAAGCCTCACTTAAGCTCCTGGCAAAGTTCTCTATCTGTCACTGTCTCATTAGGCCAAGTGTGAAAATGGTGCTGAAGAAGTATGTTACTAAATAAATGTAGAGCTTGGAGGAGGATTCTTGCCTAGAAATGCCTCCTGTGCAGCAGCCCCAGTGCTTCCTTCTCACTCTTAGGACTATCATGTTTTATATTGCTCTTTGAGTCATGCCTCTCTCAGTTATACCCAGCAAATCACTCTCCTGTGTAACTTTGATCCGGGCTCTTCTCTTTCAGGTGGTCCCGACAACCAGGTCCACTTTGAGGGGTACCAGGTCTCCAATCAGTGCATGGCGCTGGTTCGTGATGAGTGCCTGCTGCCCTGCCGCGATGCACCAGAGCTGGGCTATGCGAAGGAGTCCAGCAGTGAGCAGTATGTGCCTGATGTGTTCTATAAGGTGAGCACTGCGTGCTTGTGGGCGGGGGAGCTGCAAAAACGGCTCTGCTGTGTGTCTGGAAATCAGCACGGCCAGCACAGGAAGGGATGTCTTTGAGGTCTGAACTATTTTCGGTAGTAACCATTCACCACATGTCTGCAAAGTAATTGCATAAGCTCCATTTCCCCCTTGTAAAAGAGCTGTTATGATTTCCAGTGCAGCAGTAGCCATTGGCTATCCAGCTCCTAAATGAAGTGATCCACTGAAAGCCCACAGCAAGTACTCTGAATTCACCTCCTCTTGTATTTGTTGGCTGAATCTGCCATGTTCTCTGTTGATTTTAATCCCCATCTGAGTTCAGCTTCCTCCACTTCACCGTTGCGTGATGTGAGCTAGCACAAATAGTGCTGTCAGAGCAGTGGGTTCCTTGTGCAGTGCAGGGATTTGCTCATGTATGACATGCTGACAGACACCAGCTGGGTAAGAAATGCAACAAAAGAGTGTAATTCATGCAGCAAGAGGAGAGACAGCCCTGTGCGTGCTTCTCTGCAACAAAAGGAAGATGTGAAGGCTTTCAGACCAGTGGTGGCACAGGAGCGCATCCCTGGCTTTCCTCTCTAGCACTGAATGTCCTGCCTGTGCTCTGGTCCTGTGCTCTGGTCACACAGTAAACTCCAAAAGCTGGTCCTGAGGAGCAGTGGGAGATGTGTGGATCCAGAGTGCTTTCATTTGAAGTGCCATGCAAGAGCATTGCTGGCATCTGGCCTGCTGCAGTTCCCAGTACAGTTTCCATGATGAATGGGCTGTCATTATTCACTTGGCAGTCATTTCTGGAGCTTCTCAGACCTCCTGTGTGTGCAGGGCTGAGTTAGAAACTTGGGGACAGGATCTCTGCAGACGCTAACAGCACTGCGTCTACAACTTGTGTATGTTGGTGCCCCATGAACAAGGGCAGGGGAATTAATTAATGGCATGGCATGCTAGCTAATTAGCTATCCATCACCCCAGTTAGTTATCTCCTTCTTGTCTGTCTGATGCTCAAAGCCCGCTCAGCCTGCAGCACTGCTGCCATCTGTATTAAAGCTGTCCATGGAGGAGGTTGGGCTGTGCAGAGCTGCCATCATTTGGGCCAGCGGAAATGAGCACGTTGTACACCACCAGCAGAAGCAGAGCTTGTCAGGATGCTCCCGTATTGCCCAAAGCTCAGATTAGGAAATGCAAGCTGGGCCAAATTAGCCCATGAGGCTCCACCCCTCAGTGCTGCGCTGCTTTGGCTCCACCTGAAAATGAGGAACACCTTTCGGCTAAATTCAAGTGTTGGAAAGGAATCTGTACTCTCAGAAAGCCAGATAAAAATCCGTGCTTTTCTCCTTAGCGTGCAGACAGCTTGCTATGAGGAGCTGATAAGCCAGGTCCGTTTAGATACAGTGCAGCTCCATTGTGCAACGGCTGGCCTTGGATGAGGAGCTGACATCATCTCTGGCGCGCTGCGGTCCTGCACAGAGCGCTGTGCCACGCAGGGTGCAGCCTTGCAGGAGGCTGCAGGTCTGCGTCCCACATGTGGGCCACCCTGGGTGCTCAGAGCAGCAGGAAGCCAGTGGGTGTTCCCCTCAGGTCTTCGCTCCCATTCCTAATCTGAAGCAGGGAGATGAACAGAGTGCTCGCTGATGGCTCCGGCATCATGTGGAAATTTCCATGAGCAACTGATTCACTGGGTCGGGCTGCAGCTTATTTCATATGTTTTATAACTTCTATCCATAATTGCCTTTTTCATGATGTGCTCAAGGAAGGCTTGAGGACTGCTCTGGCGAGTGTAATTGTCCTTTAGACTTAAACGTGTTTGGCTGCAGGATCTCTTAATTTTTTTCTTTTTTCTTTTTATTTTTTGGAATGTTCTTAAATCAATGGAAAGCTTAGTCACTCCTGGCTTTGAAAACCTTTGGGGTCTCATTAAATGTATAAGGCTTGAGGTCAGAGACACTACCTCATAGTTACTGGGTTGGTGACAACAATGGTGTCAAAGCATTGGCTAAATACACTTTTGAGGAGCAGCAGTCCAGTGTTTGGCCACACAGCAGAGAACATCTGGCTCTGCAGCGCCCTGCTGCCCCTTCCTCTGTCAAAACTACAGGAGCTGAGCAGTCCTTGGTGTGAGGGGTTCCCTCTGTGCTGCCTCCCCACCTCTGGCTTTAGCAGAGCATTGCCCTTTGGAGTAGTAGCTGCATTTTGTCTCAGATGGAGAAGCTATTGCCGGTAGAGAGAAAAATCCATGTATGTGTTCCTCTATAATAAATGCAGTGTTCATTTGAAAAAGCCCTTTAGGATGAAAGAAGCTAACGCAAATTTATTATAATTGGATGTGAATCAGAAGGTCAATGTCGGTTTAGTATGAATGTATTTATAGAACTTTGCATCCACATGCAAGGAAAAAAAAAATCTATTGAACTCCTCCTGTACCTGCCTGCAGCAGGGTAATGCAGAAGATTCACCTTCAGCTCTTGCAAATAGGAAGAGAGATGTATGGAAGTGCAAGTTAACAGCAGTGCCTCAGTCACGTTGTTCAGAGATGCCCTGTGCCTGCACTCACAGCAGTGCTGTCACTTCAGCAGTGGCTGCTAGGAAGTGTGTGGGGTGGGTAATGCTGCAGGAGGGGTTCAGGTATGAGACCTGCAGTGTCAGGGACTGCAGTGTGTGCACATGGAGGTGACTGGAGAGAGAACAGCGTCTGTCCTCTGTCAGCAAGCTGTTTGTGTGTGTTCTGTTCTACGTTGTGTTTGCAAAGCAGAAGCAGCAGCTGAACAGGGCTCACCTTGGTGCTGCGTTGGCACAGGTGGGCTCTTCTTCCTCCATGGAAGTGGGAAAATCAATGGCAGCAGCCTTGTCCTGCTGGGGCGAGGCGTTTTTCCTGAGCTCCAGCCTTGTGATTTCTGTATGTCTTTACCATTCTCTTTGTGTTGGCCGTTAGCCCTCCTGCTCAGAGGAACCACCCCCGTGGAACTGGCAGGGTATGCTTTCTGCACAGGGCCATTGCTTTCCTGGCTGACAAAGGCTGAGTTCTGCTCTAGTGTGGAAGTCCAGGGCTTTGGGGCTGTGGGTGTGAGTTGCTCTGCACTGAGAGGCGTCTCCAGGTGAGATCAGCCAGAGGGAAGAACACATCCCCTTCGCCTCCCAGGTTGTCTGTGAAGCATCACAGGGCCGTGCTGCTTCCAATTTGAATGTTGCACAACCAGCACATGCTTCTTGGCAAGTTCAGTGCAAAGAAATCCAGGATGGAGTCTCTGTTGTCAAGACACAGACACACAAACTGGGGTAACCAGTGTGCTTGCGAGCAAAATGATGTCGCAACGGCCACTGCGTCTTCAGCTGAACATGACACATGGGCATTTTCCATTCCTTCTGCCCTCAAGCAGTCACCTGCCTCGTCTATCTGGTTCTAGAAAACACCCAGATTGGATTTCTTTTCAGTAAGAGATTAACCTTGAACCAGCTACCCAGAGGTGGCACTGTTTGTTGTGCTCAGTGCCTCTTTTGGGTCTGACCCCTCCCAGCAGGCTGCCTGTGCCTGGTGCTGTGCTGCCTGTGTGCTCCCAGCTCCATCCAGGCATGCTGAGTGCCCAGCAGCAGCAGTGCCCAGCTGCTCCCTACAGCCCCTACATCCCACAGATGGACGTTCTGCTCTTTGTTAGCCTCGTGGGCAGCTCAGTCTCACTTAGTGGGAGGGGAGGGTTGCTGTGTTTTACAGGATCGCTGTGTGTTGCAGACTCTTTGACACGTTTGAAGAATTGGATTTAGGGACTGGCTTTGGCTCTTACGACAGGTATTACTCTTAGTGCAAACAAGTTGCCATCCTTGTGAAGAGTTGCATTTTACAGCTGCCTTAATGCTGCCCGAAGGTTCTTCAGGACGGTGCATGACGAAAACCCTTCACAATGGCAGCAGTGTTGTGAAAGAGCCCTTTGCCCCAGAGAGTCCAGCAAGTGCCTTTTGCATTTACAGCAGTTGTGGTGCCTGGGCCTCGGCTTCTTGCTGCCAGCCCAGCTCCCATCTGGCCCAGGCAGGGACCAGCAGCAGGGTGCTTTGTTTTCATTGGAGCTGATCGGGTTGCAGACCTGCAGCTGCTCTCAGGCTGTCCCCGGTGTGGCACATATTGCTTCTGGCCATGCACTTTGAAATCCTCTTGCCAGGGAGGAGGCAGTAGCCAGGCTGTGTAGGGATCTCTCTGACAGCACAGGACTTCCCCTGGCTTCCTCCCAAAGCTTTGTCCTGGACTGTAAAAGCCTTCTTAGCCTTAAATGTCCCAGCTGCTGTGGGGAGGAGGATGCTCAGTTAGCTCACCAGGAGTCTCCTGAGAAGTGTTTCAACTCTCACTGACCTGTTGCTTACTTGTAGAAAGGTCACTTTGTTTCTGTGTGTTGGCTGCTCTGCATGGGGGTGCAGGACTGCTCAGGAAGGCTCCTGGAGGAGGGAAAAGCAAACCCAAACCCAAACCCAGAGTTGCTCAGCTCCACGGGGCCTTTAGCAGAGTGGGGAAGACAAATGGCACGGGATGTTGGCAGCCCTGAGGCAGCCACTACAGAGCCAAGCCTCCTTCCTGGCTGCTCCATCACCTCTGTGTTGGAAACCCTGAAGCCACCCAGGACCGCTTCTTGCAGTGCAGAGCTGTGCTATGCATCCCGACCTGCTTGGCAGCACACCCAGCGTGCACCCATCCTTTGCCCTGTTTGACCTTGTGGGTTTGCAGCTTCTGCCTCAAAACAGTGTTTTCAAGCCTCCAATCGCAATGCCTGATGTAATCTCACTTTGCTCCTGTCTTCAGGATGATTCATTGTCCTGATCCTCCAGGCCTCCCTGCTCGATTTTTGTCCAGGTGCCAAAGAGTTTCACTTTGTTAACTCCTTCCTGCCCCACTTGTGGCTGCTGAGCAGAGTGCAGAGGTGTTGAGGTCTGGGGCTATGGGGTGCAGCAATGGTGCCCACATGCAGAGCCACTGCCAAGTGTGGGATGGAGATGTCTGTCTCCCAGCAGTTCTCCCAGCTTGACATTTGTTAAGGCCTTTAAAACTTAATTGCCTGTTAAAATGGTATATGGGGGCTGGAGAGAAGTGCTGGCTGGGTGGGGGGGGCTTCATTTGGGGAGCAGCAGGGTCTGGGCACGTCCCCTGACTCAGGGGGAGCAAGGTTCCAGCTCGGTTTCAACCATGTCATGCATCTTGAAGGCCTCAGCAGCGTGACATTAAAAAGGAGGCATTTAACATGGAAATCCCCAGAGGCGGAGATTAAAGCGAACAGGTGCTGGAAAAATGTTTCTGCATATTAGAACTTAATTAGATTTGAAAATGAATTCCAGATGGGCTAATTATGTGTGAGTTGTTGCAGGTTCTTTCTTGCAGGGGCAGGACTGTGTTTGGGATGCTGGTGCAGTTGGGTTGGATGTGATTTGTGGCTCTGGCGCTATCGCTGCGATCTGGAAGCAGGTTGGCTTTCAGGCCCTGTGATCTCTCTGAAAAGGCTCCACGTCTCCTGCTGCCGCTGTCAGAGCCGTGGAGATCTGAGGCCACCAGCCACCAGCTTGTTGCTGAAATAACCACAGGGCCAACAAGCTGTCATGTTCAAGGAGAAAAGATCCTTATCGGGACTGCTTTTAAAAGGAGCTTCAAAGACAGGAAGGTGGATTTTGACAAAGAAAACCGTTCCTGGGGACGGGGTGCTGCTGGGGGTGGAGGTGGGGAGGGGGCTGGTGGCAGGGGGCTGCGGCCTCAGGCACTCAGCACGCCGGAGCCTGCTGGGGCAGCATCCATCTGTGAGTGGCTGCATACCTCCACTGCACACATCCAGAGTAACTGAGCGGTGCTGATAGCAGGGAGTGGTGTTTTCCAACAGGAAAATGCGGCTTGTGGGAGGATGGCAGCCCCAGGCAGCTCGTCCTGCTGGCTCAGCCCGGGTCTGCCTGCGGCCGCTGGGACTCTGCACATCAATGTAAACTTTTATGTAAGGTCTCTGATTGGAAATCATGGGTGTATAATTTATACGTGGCTCTGTGAATGATTTATAACATGTTAAGTGATGATTTAGGTAGAAAATACAACCCCCTCTTACAGAATCTTTAATGAAAAGTGTCACTTCTTATGAATTTATTTCTGAAGCTGTGTTTGAACTCAGCATGTTTGACATAAATCAGGTCTAATTGTCATTTTATGATTAATGAACGTATGCTGGCCGTTTTTCTCCATAATTAAACTTTATGTTCAGTTCACCTGGCAAAGCCAAACAAGTTTATGCACTGTGATGTGCTGGCCCTTTGGGTCTGCGTGTGAGAAAGTGCCTGGACTTCCAGCTCCCAAGCAGAAGCAAGCTCAGATTAGAGACTCCTGGCAAGTTTTGCAGCAAGTCAGGTTTGCCTTGGCTGAGAAAGCAGATGTGGAGCTATCCCTCCTTTTAAGACAGTGCTGCTTCTGAAGTGGCATTTACACTCCCCAGATAATGCTTGCCATCTCTCTAGTGGCAAATGTTCATGACAAGATGCTTCATGTGAGCATCAGAGTTACAGAGGTCTTGGAGCTGGAGGAGCTGCAGAGCTCTGTGCCCCAAACCATCTACCAACACAGAGGATCCCGGAGCTGCAGCATGGATCTGTTCAGGGATGCCTCCCTGAGGCTTCTTGCCATTTCTGCACTAATCACACTCTTCTCTTTCAGGACATAGACAAGTTTGGCAATGAGATCACACAGCTGGCTCGTCCTCTCCCTGTCGAGTACCTAATCATAGACGTAAGTATTCATTGCACTTTGCTGGAGTAAGAGGTGGTCAGAGCAGACCCACCTCTAAATTTCACACTGGAGCTGATTTGTAGGATAGGCTGATTCTCTCCCCCCTTTCCCAGTTACAGCCTGGCACTTCTAGCAGAGGTGCAGGAGGCAGCATGCTGTGAGTGATGCAGTGCTCTCTGAGCACAGCCTGCAGTGGTGCCAGGGAACGCCCTTGCTTTCTGAGAAGGCCCTGCCTGGTGCCTTATCACTGCTGGGAGGTGGCACGTAGCCATGTGGCAGAAGCAGCCAGCCCCACACGTGTGTGCTGGGCACCACCTCGCGGGGAGCTAATTAGAAAGCTCCGCTTGTGTCTCCCTTAGCAGCAATGAAGGATCCAGCTCTTTGTGGTGACTCAGCAGACCAGGTTGGTGCTACCAAAATGCCTTTTCCTGGGGGAGGGCAGTAGGAGATACAGCACAGAGCTTGGCTGGAGCAGAGCCACGGCCTGCCCATGTGCAAGCCCTGCCAGGCACTGGGGCACGGCGCTGCCCTTTGGCTCAAAAGGGAACTGTTACGGTGTGGAAGAGAAGAAAGCAAAATAATTCAGATGACAGATAATATTGCTGAGTCGGAGTTGGTGCCAATAAGGATTAAATCCACCCAGAGCCACTGCTCTGCTCCAGCTGCCCTTGGCATCGGTGCTGTCCCGCAGCACAGGGAAGCTGGCAGTCAGGAGCTTTCCCCTTGCTCTTCCCTGTGCCTGCCAACGCCTGGTGTGTGTGTGCCCCTTATCAGCATGGCTCAGAACAAGGGGCCCATTGTGCAGGGCCCTTGGACACCCTTTGCCAGTCGACAGTGCTGGAACGTATTTATTGCTCAAGTAGTAAAGGCATCTGTTTCCAGACTACCTGGGGTGTAATTAAGATGAAAACAGATTGACAGAACATGCATTTAGGAGCAGTCTGGAAAGCTGCATTTCTGAAGCATCTTGTGTTGCCTCGTTTTTTCATGATTCGAGTTTATACTGAACTGGCAGGTATTTCTGCATGTCTGCTTACAAAGAGCCTCCCTGTCAGGGCAGAGTAACTGACACCACAGCTTTAAAGCCCTCAGAGTGAGAGAACTGGTTTAATTGTCAACTGCTGGCCTCTGAACCCAGGAGCCTCTCAGGTAAGGTGGGAGCAATGTTGTGTTCCCCCCTTCCCACCTGTCCATTTGGCACAGGAGGCAGGGTTAGTGCCCCTCTGAGTGCAGAGACACTTAAATAACATGAAGAGATGCTTTCTTGGCATTATGCAGTCCAGAAACCAGTGGAACGGTCCTGGTGTAAGAGCTCTGTTGTCCCCCACAGTACTAAGGACACCCTCAGGTGACACCCCAAGCAGGGCAGGGCTGCAGGGGGAACTGCTGTGCTGTTGTAATGACTGAGCTCAGACCATTTCCCTCAGCTTCATTAAAAGTGATGGCTGGAAGCTGGGGGATTCACTGATTGCAACATTGCTTTAAATGTTAAAAGCCATCAGAAGATCCATGCTGTAATTGCCTTCCTGGCTGAGCTCTAATGTGCAGCCATGGCTGCTCTCGATGCTCAGAAGCCTTTCTTCCTGTAGCCCTTTTACCTCTCCTGCTGCTAATGCTCTGGTCGTCCTTTCTTGGATTTTCAGATTACTACAACTTTCCCCAAGGATCCAGTCTACACTTTTTCTATTTCTCAAAATCCATTTCCCATTGAGAACCATGATGTGCTGGGAGAAACTCAGGTAAGCAATCGATGGCAAAGTTTTATTTCATACAGAGACATCATCTATTTCCCTTATACTTTCTAATGTCTGCAAAAGGACAGCTGCAGTTGTGCCCTTACATCACCCTCCTGTGGTTCAGTCCAGCATTGCCAAACTCTGCCTGCATGCAGATGGGGGCTGGGTGTGCTCCCCTCTCAGGGCTGAGCTCTGGGCCACCTCGTGCTCTGCCAGGGCTGTGGTCTGCAGATACTAAAGCAACCCAGGGACTAAAGCAACCCAGCTGAACTCTGGCCCCAGAGAGACAGGATAGGACACTGTGACAGCAGTAGGACGAGGGTCTGATGCTCCAGCTCCAACAGCACCATCTTTTCTTCCTGGGCTGATACTTAAAACACAGAGATCTTTTACTGAATGGGCTCATAGTGTTGAGCAGAGGCAGCTGCTGCACAGTCTGAGGCATGCACGGGACTTTGCCAGCACATGGAAGACTTGAGTTGCTTTAAGGCAAGCAGCTAGTTTCTGCTAGGAGGCCACGCTAAAGGTGTCTAAGGCTTCCTCCAAAAGCAATCACGAATGAAGGGCTCCTGCACACAGAGAGCAGGGAAGAGAAGGCGGGGGATGGAGGGGCTGCCTCGCCTGCCTCTTCCTCAGGGACCAGGCTTTGCCTTTAGCTCACTGCCTCTGCTCAGTACGTTGGGTTTGGGATCAGCTCTGGATGTGCTGCTGGGAGAGGAGGGGCAGTGTGGACCCCTATTTCTCTGGAAGCTGTTAGCTGCAGCACAGCCAGGCTGGGGTCTGATTTCAGGATGGTCTGCACGTTGCACAAAAGAGGACAAGAGTGTTACCATGTCTGTTAGTGGATCTGAATAGGAAATCAAAGTTATCACATGGAGGGAAAATGACTTATTTTTCTTACTTTCCTGTCTTGCAGGACTTCCACAGCTTGGCCACCTACCTGTCCCAAAATACTTCCTCTGTTTTCTTAGACATCGTTTCCGATTTCCATCTGCTCCTCTTCCTGGTCACGAACGAGGTCATGCCTCTGCGGGTACGTAAGCGACAGCAGACGGCCACATGTCAGTGTCACTGAGGCCCTCTTGCTGCACGGGGGACAGCGGCACAGCTCCAGGCACGTCCCATGCCTTCTGGGGACATGCAGCTGGCCCGACGCCTGTTCTTCCAGACTGACCTTTCAGCAGAGGGCTTAAAAGTGAAACTGAAGCCCCCAGCTGGGCCAAGAACTCCCAGAGCACTGCTCGGAGCAGTGAGGGGGTGAGGGCTGTTAGGATGGTCACAGGCGGGATGCAGCCAACTTGGCCGTGGCTCAGAGAGCTGGAAACATTTATAAAAAAGTATCTCAGAATCAAAAATTCCAGTTGTAACGATAACAAGATCAGAGCCTCCAGATCTCTATGAGGCCAGCAGCTTCCTGCTCATGCATCTCTGCCTCTCTTGGCATGGTACTGGTGGTTGCCCAGGCCCCCAGTTAACATCTGGACCTCGGACCTTCCCATTTCAAGCAGCATGCCAGCAGAACGAGCCATGTGTTTGCAAGAGGCCTCGTGGGCGCATGTGCAGGGCGGCTGGGCTGACCCTGGGCAGCTGGAGATCAGGCTGGGGCTGCACACGGGCTGGGGGTTGGGCATGGTGCTTCCCGAGACAGCTGCATTGGGAATATTTGTGCCCTGCTGGGAATTGGGCTCAGTGTGCACAGCACAGGTCAGCACAGCTTCCAGCTGCAGCCTCTGAGCAGAGGGAGTTGAAGCCTTTGGGTTTTAGAGTACATCTGAATGCTGGGGGGAGCAGAAGGGATAGGTTCAGTCTTATTCCCCAACAAGCGAACATCACTTGTGCAACCCCAAAGGCTCTTTAGAAAATGGTGGTAAGTCAGACTTGCAGCTCTGCCTCAATGTGACCAGTGGAGGGCTGGAAGGCTCTGGGTCATAGCTGCAGGCTGTTTGCAAGAGAAGTATCCAGCACTGATATCCCTCTTTTGGCTTTCAGGACAGTATCAGCTTGTTGCTGGAAGCTGTGAGGACCAAAAACGAGGAGCTTGCACAGACCTGGAAGAAGTCAGAGCAGTGGGCCACCATCGAGCAACTGTGCAGTAAGAAATGGGGTCCCTGGGACACAGTCCTTTGTCATTCAGTCCGTGGGCTGGGCTGACTGGTGTGGGCACAGCACAGGGTCTTTGGTGCTCAGTGTGGGTGCTGAGATCTGTCCGTGCCTGGGAGCAGTGCCTGGTGCCAGCCTTGGGGTGAAGGCAGCTTGTGGGCAGGGAGATTCCTGCCTGCTGGGACAAGATGTAGGCAGGGTTGTTGTCCGTTCCCAGCACCTCTCCCTGCTTTGACCTTGCTCTTTCTCTCGCAGGCACAGTTGGTGTCCAGCTGCCAGGACTGCATGAATATGGTGCTGTGGGCGGTTCGACACACGCCGTGTCGGCGGCCATGTGGGCCTGCCAGCACTGCACCTTCATGAACCAGCCAGGCACGGACCACTGCGAGATGTGCAGCCTGCCCCGGACCTAGCCTCAGCAGTGCGGCAGCCGACTCCAATACAGAGCAAACCCTTGAGCAGCAGGAGTGGTGCTTGACCCCTCCCCTTCCCGCTCCAGCCCTCCTTGGTTGCCCCTCTCTTCCTTCCAGGGGCAGCCATGCTGTCACATCATGAGGTGGGCACCCTGGGCTTAGCCTGATGCTGGCCTCTCACTTCACCTCAGTCTCTGGACGGGCCCTTGCCTAGCAGGGCTCAGGGCGGCTCTGTGTGGGGCCAGCCAGGGCCTATCCTTCCCTTCCCTCTCCCCTGCCCACAGCATCCCCTACCCTGCAGAGGAGGCGGGGAGGCAGTGGCATCTCCCTGCCCCCAGCTTTGCTCCCCGCTCCCCTTTTCCTGCCTTTGTGGCTGGCTGCCGCCAGCCTTGGCTTTCCAGGCAGCCCTGGCCTGGCCATACCCACAGCTTTTGTGCTAAACAGCCCATGCGGGGTGAGCAGATGACTGTTAGCAGTGTTGGACCAGGCAGCAGCTCCGCCGGGCCAGACTATGTGTGCTGGCAGCGCTCCCAGAGCAGGATAGGATCCCTGGCAATGGGTGAGGGGTGGGCACGTGCCAGCTCACGGCTTGGCGCTGCACCCACAGCCTCGCTCTCTCTGGCTGCAGGGATGCTACGGCAGCCTGGGTCATTCCTGGGGGCTGCAGGAAGGCTGTTCCTTCCCCGAAGGCTTTGCTGTCCACTCAGATAGTGGGGAACGTGCTGGGGGGCCACGTAACTCAGGCCTATGCTGCAGTACCCACTGATTTTTGTGCGTGTCCCCCCTGGGCACCGTGCTGGAGGTGGGGGCCGGGCTACACTCTTGCTGCTCTCTCCCTGCTTTAGAGCCTGACTAGGGGCTGCTACGGGGCTGGAAAGGGGCGGGCAGCGCCCTGTGACCCTGTCTCAGGGCTGCCCGACCCCTGGTGATTCGGGTTTCGGTTCGATTCCTGGGGCTCCGGTTTTAGCACTGTTTCGTGCCGCTTTGCAGGAGGGAGGCGTGAGGCCCCGTCCTGGCACGGACCCCGGGATGGGCACGGAGACCCTCGCTGCTGCCCGTGGGCTTTGTCTCGTGCTGAGGAGCGGCTGCCGGCCCCGCCCCGCCGCGGGGCGCTCGGGCTGTGGCTGCGGTTTGCTTTTCCCCTCGGTTTGTTGGTGTTTGGGGTTGCAGCGTTTTGCGGTGCCTGGACCGAACGACCCAGTCGCAAGGGTCTGCGAGTAACGTTGAATAAAAGCACCTGAAACGAGAGCCGGCGCTGTGCCTTCCTGCGCTCTGTTCCTGGACCGCGGCCGTCCCTCTGGCCGGCTTGGGCGGACGGATGGACGGACGCTGCCCTCGGCGCCCCGTGCCCTGCCTGCAGCTCGGCCAGGGCAGCCTGTTTGCAATCAGCAGCACAGCCGCGTGCGGCCGGGCCTCGCGCCAGGCCCGCTTGTTAAAAAGGGACAGCAGCAGCTGCACGGAGCCAGAGCCGGCGGATCCGAGCCCAGCGAGCAGCCGCCTCGTCTTCAGGCGGGTCCCAGCACAGGTAAGAGGCAGGAGCGCGTCACGTGTGCCAGGCCCGCTCTCGGGGTCACGCCAGCCAGCAGCCGTGAGGCTGGGCGCTTCCCCCCGCCCCGGGTTCCCGTTGCGGTGCCGTTGGCGACGCGTCCCCGCGTTGGGCCGGGACCTCTCCTCCGCTTAAGGGCCCGCAGGGGGATGCGGGGCCCGGCAGCGCCGTCCTGGTGCGGGGCTGAGGTCACCGCGGATCCGCTCCCCGAGAGCCGGGCTCCGTCTCACCGCACCACCCGCAGCCATGGCGAGGCTTCTCCCCCTCCTGCTCCTCGCGGCTCTGGGCGGTGCGGCCAAGCTGAAGCGCCAGCCGGCGGCGTGGGACGAGCGAGCGGACGGTAACGGCCGGGACCCCTCCTCGGCACGGCCGCCGCACCGGGCGCACGGCCCGCAGCTCGGGGGCTGTCCCGCCCCGTGCAGCCCCGCGCAGCCCCGTCCCGTCCCCGCAGCCGGCCGGGCGCCGCGGGGCTGCGCCAACCTGACGCTCATCTTGGACAACTGGAGGTTCGCCATCACCTCGCAGCTGCGGAACCTCCTGCTGTTCCACCACCACACCGTGCTGCCCGACTACGGCCGGTGAGCGGCGGGCGGGAGCGGGGCCGGGGGGCTCCGGGGGGCTCCTGGGGGCTCCTGGGGTAGCCGAAGCCCTCGTTCCGCTCCCGGCACAGGATCCGCGCCCTGTCGGGGGCACTGGATGAACTCTACGAGGATTTCAGCGCCCTCAAGGAGCAGCTGGGGCGGCTCTCGGGGCGCTTCGTCGAGGTGGAGGCGTTCGTGGATCAGCTGAGCCGCAGCCCCGGGCCACGCGTTGCCCCCGGGCCGGGGCCACGCCGCCGGGGATCGCCCCAACCCGCCCTGAAGTAGCAGCACGGCTCACCCCGAGCCCCGCCGCATCGCTAATAAAACCTCGCACCCGCAGCACCGCTGCCTGATCCCTGACCCCCAGCCCGGACGCCGGGAGGGTGGGACCGAACCACCCCCCCTCCTCCCCGCAATGGGGAGTCCGCCCATCGGCGCTTTACGGCCGCTGTCGCAAAATCTCCGCCCCATTGCGGCGGCCGCCGCGCAGCCGTAAAGCGGAGCCGCCCGCGCCCCCCGGCCCGGTACCCGCAGCCCCTCCGGGACGCACCGGGGGGTGGGAGGGAGGAGGGGGGTTAGGGGGTGTGGGGTTGGGGATGGTTGTAGGGTGGGGATCGGGGCTCCTGTTGAGGGGAAGATTTGGGGGTAAGGGGTGAGGGT